GTCAGTAGAACCGCGACTGTCACTCTCGCACGTAAGAATAACATTCCTTCACATCCTAGAACTATTTACACATTACATTAGACGAGGTCTAAAGGGTCACGACATTATCAAATAGTTAAAAGGCATTGGTGATTGGCAGGATTCGTACCCAGAATTTTGGGAACCAAAGCTCTATTGTACCTTTAGACCATCTCGTTCCTCCAATCTTTAATGAAAATACTTTGTCTAGGCCTATTTCATATGTTAATTGATACTAAGATTGAACCTTTAAAGAAATACGAGAACTACAAAGAGGGACACACGGTGGGTAAGACTCAACATGGATCCAGAGAATAAATGGAAAATGTCTCAGATTTAAGGATAAACTCGTTTTAATCCATTTATTTTTTATCAATCCCAATGTTCGTTCAATGTTTGTCTTGTATTTTAGTTAATTTCCCTATAGGGAAGCAGCTATTACCGTAGGTGGCACGGTAAGACCTAGGCCCTGGACCAATTTACTATGCTATTAATACTTAACTAAAAAACACACTTTATTAGTTTCCTTGTAGCAGCAAACCTAGGTACCTGTTAAACCTAATGTTATTTATATAGAATTGATAATCAATTCAGACAAATGGAAATTCGCTTAGTCAGCAGGTTTGCTGCCGCGGGAGTATTTCATTAAAATTCAACCCCCCTTCCTTCCAAAAAAAAAAACACAATAATGTGTTTATAAAATCATTTGGAAAACCCTATCCACTTTGAGAACTCCCTATCATTAATAAATTGCTTCAAAACATCGAAACTAAACTCTCTACTATTAAACACAAGTCTCTTACCACTTGCTATTTCTTTGTTCTGAAATGCAAAAACATTTCATCACTCTTTGTACCCAGACTAATAAATTTTGTCACCACAGGTTTGCCGCCATTTGAAGAGCAACCCAAAGACCTGCGTCTATTCCCTGGACAGACCGCCCTATTCTCTTGTTTGGTAGAAAGCGGCCCTCCCCCACTACAAAACTCGTGGGAAGTCTCATGGATTAAAGATTCTCGGCCGTTGGTTTTGGATTTGTCACGAATGTTAGTCCTACCTTCAGGTACGTTTTTCAATGTCTTCTAATATTTTCCATCTTGGTTAGTTTTTTAAATAAAAATATAGGCCCTAAACTATAAATTACAAGTTTTACGATTCAAAATTGTATTTAATGAAATCTGTTATATGAAAACAAATTTTTATTTTATTTCCCTCTAAAAATCACTTTGAAATATTTTCCTGCTTGCTTCATTGTTCAAATGGTTCATTGTACATTAAACAATATAAATTTCCAAACATAATTAACGCAAATTCGAGAATTGGCAAATTAATTTCAGTAGTAAGTATGTCAAGGATTAAAAAATTGGTCATATATTGAGTCAAATCCCTCTTAAAAAATTTGATTTTGTATTTCTGTTTTACTATTGTGGTTAATACATGTTTTTTAACACTATTATTATACCTCATTTTCACTCAGATACAGTTGCATATTATTTATTTTTCATTGAATGATAATAACAGTTTAGAAGTAACAGGAAAAGTCTTTGGATAGTATAAATTAAGTTTTTTGCCCTATCAAAAGCCCCAAATTCAAAATCTGAGAATGATTTTCCTGTCAGTATTTAATTTGTTTATGTATATTTAGTGATATAGTTTTAACCTATTGGCATCCCATTACACACAGGAATTCCTCTTTTTTTAGCTCTTTTAGTGACTTACAAAAACAACTATAACTTCTTTATGCATTACTATTTTGTCTTAAATTCTTCTCAGAAATATTGGAAGACAATCCACAATTACCTATCTACAAGTATATTTCACTGAATCATAAACAAGACAGTTGCGGCATTTGGACAAAAACATTACCGGTACCTCAAAACTAATATTTTTGTTTTCCAAAACAGGTTATTAAACCAAAGAAACAAAAAATACACACAATAAAATTATTGCACATAGACAGAAAAAATTATTGACACAATAATAATCGCTGCTGCGATCTATCAGAATAATTTAAAACTACTAGCAATGTTCCGATGGAACAGTTCCGTCTAGGAATGCCAGAGCGCTTTAGCAGCACGACGAAAATGTTCCGCCCAGTGGGTTAAACTTATAAGAACTGCTGGAACTAAAATAAAATCTATAAATATCACTCGTTTAGGAAAAATAAAATATTTGTTGCCCTAGATTTTGACATGGAACCGAAATTTGCTAAATATATTTTGTTATCAGTATTCAGTTTTGCTCACACTACATTTGATTCGCAGGGTCTTTGGAGATAGAGTCAGTGCAGGTATCGGACCGAGGTAGTTACCGCTGCAATGTCAGTGGCAACAATCAACATAGACTTAGTGACAAGGCAGTTCTACAGATAGATCAGGACCTAGAGTCTGCCCATAGTCTAAGGGCTCCGTCGTTCATAGCACAGCCACGCTCAACTGTGGTGGTAGAGGGCAGCACTGTTACTCTGGAGTGTGCGGCTAACGGCAACCCTAGACCTTGGATTGTCTGGCTGAAGGATGGAGTGGCCATTGATTTTCAGTAAGTTTATCATGATAGAAAATTGCTGTTGATTATCCGAAACGTCACTTATCCGTATTTCTTTTGAAACTTTTATTTTGTTCTTACTCGCTATGGTTGTCTTAGCGATCAAAAGTGTGTTAGCTTCTACCCTCTTAGAGATGTTCCAAACCTGAAAAAAATGTTTGGGTGAAAACTTAAACACAATATTTTACTGTTCTAAAATCGTTTATCCTGGCTATTATGAAGGTCCTAAAGCAATTGTTTCAGGTAATTGGCTCTCCGCAGTACATATTTCAAGATCATTTGCTAGCCCTTAGATCAGAAAATACCCCCGCCGCAGCAAACCTAACGCCTAAGCGAATTTCCATTTGGCTGAATTGATTTTCAATTGATCTATTTAAATAACATTAGGTTTAACGAGTACCTAGGTTTGCTGCTACAAGGAAACTAATAAAGTGTGTGTTTTAAGTAAAATAATTATTGCTTAGTATAAAATGAATATATTTGCCAAGTTTGATCAAAAGATATCCATAAACAAGCAAACTACGACATTTTACAATATTCTCCATAAGAATAACATGGGAATTTTAAATTTACCATTTTTTTAGTTTTCTCCGTAACCAATAACCGTACAAAAACACTTTGATATACTGAATTGTTTGTTTTTTTAAGCTCTTTAAGAAGGTTTAGAGAAAATTTGGGAAATTTTGTGTTGTGAGGGTCAAAAGTGAGAAAAACAAATTTTTACCCCATAAAACCCTGTTCCCATGGTCCGATCATGCTGGATCGCGAACTCATTCAAGTTTATCCCGCCTTACACCTTCAAACCAAATTTCATCAAAATCGGATAAAAATTACTCAAGTTATCGTGTTCACGGACACATATATATATATATATATACATATATAAAAATTTGAACGAGTGGTGTTTTTGGCCTCTGGGGACATCAAAATGAAAAAGTAAATCGGTCCCGGGCCTAAGTCTTACCATGAGACCTACGGTAATAGCTACTTCCCTATAGGGAAATTCGCTAAAAGGGCTATCATTAAATTTAACTTGTAACATTTAATAATAAACATCATTGTTGATGATAGTAGCTTTAATAGTTAAAAACTGGGCTCAATTGTCCTTTACAATTGCTTTTAATAAATGATCCTGGGAATGAATCAGCTGTTCTTATCAACAAAGCTACATGGATCATGCAATCTATTCCACTCATCTGGCATTTATATTGTGCTTAAAATATGTACTAAGGTTACTGTCCTATAATTAATTATAACAATGTTAGGTAATACTTGATGCATTGCACTGAATGTTAATTCAACTAGTGTTTAGTTTTTATTGTTATCGTGGAAATTACAGAGACCTGGACACTAACTGCAAGATGACGGGCACTGGTAGTCTACAAATGAGAGACATCCAAGAGAGTGACGCAGGAAACTACCAATGTAGAGCTGAGAATAGAGAAGATTCTGCGGACGCTACTGCCACTCTACATGTTCAAGGTACGAACAGTGATGACTAACTACTGCCAGACTGGTCATAGTTTATGCATGTTCAAATTTAGGTCTTCCAGTGATGACTGTCGTTGAATAAGCTAAACTAGAGTCTGATGTTACGGATTTGTAACAACGATCCATCTTGGGAGAAAACTACTATTCAACTCAATAGTAGTTATTATGAGACTCAACTCAATTAGTAGACTATTCAACTCAATAGTAGGAGTTGAATATTAGTTGTCTCAAAACTTTGTTTTCATATTAAAGCGACTTAGTTAATTCACTCAGACTTTTTTCCCAAAATAATCAAGTACTATAAACTCATCAAGAATATACAAAGGGTATCTCACGGAAAATGCAGCTTCATCAAATGTGTTGTTGCAGTTCCACCATCTTTTTTGAAGAAGCCGACAAGTAAAGTAGCTCGGGAGAAAGAAGACGTGGAATTGGAGTGTGCGGTCGATGCTAGACCTGAAGCTAAAGTCAGTTGGTTGAAGAATGGTGACCACATCAAGCAAAATGAGTATCTGCAAGTAGTAAATGGGTAAGCTTAAAAAAGATATTTTTATTTTTTGCAGTCAGTTTAATTAATTGAAGGCTTACTTTCTTACTTTGTTTTGTGTCTAAAATGAGAATCAGAAAGTTATGAGATTGTAAATAATTGTTTAAGAATAAGAATAAAGATTCCCAATCTTTTTTACCTAAACAAGCTACAGGCAGTACGTACTACTTTTTCTATGCTGCTCTGTAATATCTTTCTGATGGATAATAGTTTACCTCCATTTATTACTGAGTTCTCAGCCAAAAGACTCAATACTTCTGTTGTGGTAACAATATGTTAGAAATAACAATAACAACGCTACTAGATATTTTATCTGAAGCTCTGAATGTTGTCTCTTTTTTGCAGGAACAATCTACGTATTCTCGGACTGATGTCATTGGACGCAGGCATTTTCCAGTGTGTTGCCTCAAACCCAGCCGGCAACATTCAGGCAGCGGCACATCTAGTGGTTACCAACTCAGGTAAGCTTCACTGCCAAAGTCCTTGAAAACCGCTATTAATTGTTGTCAATAAATTGGTTGACATTTCAACCTATTCTTTGACTATTTCATTGCATTTTCCACTTCGGGCCAACATGTTGTTTTTATAAACAATCTCTTGGCATGAAAACAACTGTTGAACTGTACTACTCACATTTTAAATCATGGTAATCCGGAATAACTTTGCAGTTTGTTTTGATAATTGTCACTAGGGCATAAATTAACAATGCAACATAGGTAGAATAATCAGCTGATTAACACTAGTTCCTTGTTTATTTTCTTCTATTGTGACTATGTGTTTATTTTCTTCTAAGTTAACTTAACTTTGATTTAAAATGCCTAATCGATCTTGTGTAAGCCTATCTCTCTATGCAGGGACCTCCTCTTTGAATGGCCATGAGTAAATTTATTTACTCATGATATTTCATAAAGTGCATTGACTGTTGTAGTTGGACCAATTAGATGAGGATAGTCAGGTGGTGGTGTTATAATTTAAATTTAAGATAGTTCAATGTTATAGGTTATATTTTAAAGGAAAGCTTGTTGGCTGGTTAGGGGTTATTTTGAAGAGGGATAAAGTTAAGCTAGCTTATCTAAAAAAATTGGAGTCCAGGTTCTAATGGTAATCAAAAGATCACAAAACATAGTACTGATATTAACCGAAAGGACGTCTTTGAACACGTCGGAGAGGAGATTGAATAGAAACCTTTTCAATATAGTGGTCTTTTATTTGTATCAATTAGCCTCTGGATTTTATTTTTTTCAGATAAGCTAGCTAAACTTTATCCTTCTTCAAAATAACTGCTAATTACTTGTTTTACTTTAGACTAAAGTAAAGTTTATAACCATTTGAGTAGTATAATAAACAAGTTTTGTTCTTAACTACAAACCCAAGATCATCAATTTCTTACATTATTTTGTCAACTTATTATTTATTTATGATTTACTTCAGTTATTAATTTTTTTGTTTTATTTTTCCCCTTCCTTATTTCTCGTCCTTTCCTCTCCTTACACCCCTTTACAATTTTATCACAATTTTCATTTTCATCGCAATTTTATTTATTCACTTCATTTTCACAAATTATTAACTTCTCAATTCAACTTGCCACACATTAAAAATCACATTTTTTGCTTACATAACCTCAATACAAAATTTAAATGTTTTTGTCTACAAATATCCTCAGCTGATAGTGAAGTTTCCAAAAACATCTCTAAATTACTAAAATCAAAACGTCCGTCCATCCCCCCTGGTCTTTCCGCACTAGAAGGTGAGCTAGAGTTGCCGAGCCTGGAGACAGTTCCGCAGAACGTCGAGGCAGCCATCGTAGGAGCCAGGTTCGTCACTCTCAGATGGAAGCCGCCACTGCACTTCAGTGGACAAATATCTAGCTACTCTGTCTTCTACAGAGAGGAAGGTTCTTACAGGTATGGCTTTTTAAAATTTACATTTACCTATTATTGCTTTAATAATAGCATATCGGTCTAGTGGTAGAGCATGAGGCTTCGAACTCTGAGGTTCTGGGTTCAAATCCGTTCAATAGCCAATGGTTTCACCCTAGTAATAATGCGACAACATCCTAGGCTTAGTCTATTGTGTTTAACTGTTCCCGACTAGAGACTAGTGTTATAAGTGTAAAATTGGGACTTAGTAAAATATATGCTCTATCTGAAACAGGGTGTCTACAGCTCCCATACGTTCCTGTTCTCTCAGAGAAGTCCCCAAATGTTTAGATAGGTCCCGAAGGCTCTGAAAACCCATAGATTACTATAATGTACTGTAGAGCTCCAATTATTAGGATCAAGGCTATACAGGGTGAATCAGACTAACCGTGCACATACTTAAACGGAATATACAGCCGCTTGTGTAACTCACTGACTCACTGATCAGGTATACAAGTGTTTACCCACTTCTAGAATAGCTAGGGATCTGAAATTTTTTGTGGAGGCTCATCTCGGTCTCAAACCACCCAGGAAATCCAAAAAAGTTGCATTTTCAAATTACAAACCTCCAAAAATTCCCTTAAACCTCCTTTTTCAGGGTGGCTAGTGACCTGGAAAACCTGGAAATGTCAGGGAATATTAAATATCTGGAAAAGTCATGGAATTTTGTCATAAGTCAGGGAAAATTGTAAAATGTTTAACATAATTTTAATAATTGTTAGGAAAGGTCGAGAGTATGTGTGCCGTGTGGGTGAAAACTAAGAAATATGTCTCTACAAATAAATTTTGTGTTTTTGTACAAATTAAATTTTATTATAAACTGCGTCTCATCTTAACTCAGTTTAATTTTATTAAGGTAAGTTGCAAAGTTTGAATATAAGCTAGCCTGTATCTATAGATTTTATGTATGTTTTTCATGTAAACAAACATAAGATATTCTTCAGATAAAGATTAGTCCTTTTGAAGAATTAGTTAGGTAGTATTAGAATTGTAATTTTGAATTTGTCGATCAGGGAAAGTTTAAAAAAATCATGGAATTGTCAGGGAAAAGTCAGGGAATTTTTCAATGTGATTTCACTAGCCACCCTGTTTTTTTATTTTATTTTTTTTTATGGATATAGCTTGAAAATGGTAAGAGCTAGCAAAGATATGAAATAATTTTGATGGTCAGGAATTAAATTTTTTACAAGACGCTCTTCGGCATTTTTCGAAAACCGCACTCCTTCACATAAAAAAAAAAACGCCCTACTTAAAATTGGTAAAATGTCTTGGATTTTCAACGTGTTTTTAATTTTTTAAATTACTTTTCGGACATATATTTGTACTTATAATGATCCCAACATTGAAATAAAAGTGCCTTAAGTGACATTTTAAAATTGTAACTCACTAAAAAAATGTTAAATGGCGGATTTTCTGTATAAAATGTTGTTTTTTTTACGCGTGTTGGGCCAAACCGTTGTGCATGGGTGGTCTGATTCACCCTGTATTTGGTTCTAAACTGGGTCTTTTAGTGTTTGTTTAATTGCCCAACATTTTCCCCCTTTTAAAGTTTGGTACATTACAGTTGATATCCTTTTATCCTTGTTCAAGAAAAGGCTCTTGCCCATGTGCTTATGTTTTTAAAACAAGGGAGATAACAGCTTGATTACCTTTAAAGTCCTGATTGGCCACAGTACACATTTGAAGACTTTTGAGGGACTCTGTCAAGTGTAGTTGTTTGTCTAACATTTAGTACATAAATCTTAGTCTACACTTGACCAGGTCCTAAAGAGGTCAAAATATTATGTATTTTGTGTTTTTCTTTGTAACTTAAATGTTTCCTGGACTTTTTCTCAGCTGTTAATTTAGCTCTTATCCCCCTTTTATCCTTGTACTCTGTGTTATATGTCATTGTCATAGTCCAGATAGTGGCATAACTAAATAACATAGATCGGTCTTTATATAGTAGAGAATTATTTTACAGACTTGTACATTTTTAACGTTTGACCACAGAGAGAGGGTGGTGAACACGTCAAGGTCGAGACTAGAGGAGGTCAACATACAAGGTTTACAGCCTGACCGCAGCTACGTGATGCGAGTGAGGGCATTGATCAACGACAGTCTAGGAGCGACTTCTCTACCAGTCACAGTCAGGACTAAGGCGGAGGTGCACGTGCCTGGTCCTCCGCTACACGTAGCAGCTCATCCCCTCTCCCCCACCTCTGTACATGTCACCTGGGCTCCTCCGGCCTACGACCCTGCTACGGGACCTCCCCTCAGCTATAGTCTGTATTACATAGAGGTAGGTCTGGGTTGAGTGTTTTTCTACGTAATCGTTTGTTGTCTCCTTTTGAGTTTCGGTTTGTACTTTTGATTTGGTGGGTTTAAGTATTTTTGAATTTACCAGGTGCTTAAAAAATAATAGTGTGAAATTTAACAGGTGTTTCTGTTAACTTTGACTAACACAACTCTTAATGCATACAAAGGAAAGAGCATATGTTATAAGTATATGAGCATGTTTATGTAAAAGGGGACTAAAAGGGTGTAGGGTTGACAGGAGTAAGACCAAATATAAAACTGAAACATAATATTGTCTCATTATGTTTATTTCTCATGTTATATTTATGACACCATAACATTAAAAAACATAAATTAAGCTTGTAAAAAATGCACGTCTTTTGGGGCTGACTGCGCTCCAGACATCCTGTAACCAGACTCAAGTGACACTATCAACGTTTGCCAGTAGCACTAGGTGTAAATGGAAATGGCAGTGTACAACAACGTTGAACTATAGATAACTATGACTACCACTTACCATTATTTTATAACTATTGAAGCTATTGAGGTCTAAAATTTGCCACGTGAGTTGCTAACGGACGTGTAAATATTAGTAGGTCTGTGCAAATTCTTTATAGATCCGATAACAAATCCGAACCACCTTATTGGTTGCTCATCTTTGTCAGGGAAAATAAAATCTAATCATCAGCCGCTCAAGGCTAACAGGAACCTTAAGCAAACAATTTTTTAAATCACCTTTTAAATCATATAAAGCTTGTTTTATGTTAAAGAAGGAATAGATACACAACTAGTTTACTTAAAATAAAGGTTCCAGGTTTTTGAAAGCACAAATAAATCATAATGAACTTATTGGCTTGGAAAAAAAACCTATTCTACTTCTTTCTTCTGAAGAAGCCCTATTAGGGTCCGAAATATCAAGTTTATTGTGTTGTGTACTTCTTTGTGCGCTTTAAAGAACCTGAAACTCTTAGATAAGATAGTTATATATTCCTTCCCTAAGTCAAGCTCCTTTTCAATAAACAATGCCTGTGTAATTTTTAAGTTGGCAAAATCTTAAAGCTACCCCTAGAACCAGTCTAAACATTAACAATTATTGATTGTTGTGATTGTTGTAGGCTGATGATTCGGAAGAGTTCATCAGGAATACTACGGAGCTGAGTTACACATTGGAGAACTTGAAGAAGTTCCAGGAGTACAACATATGGTTGGTCGCACACAATGAGAACGGTCCAGGAACTGCTTCTGAAGAGATCACAGTGAGAACGTACTCAGATGTACCTAGCAAAGCACCGGAGAATGTTACGTTGGAGGCTGCCAGCTCAACGGTTTGTCCAATTATATGTTATTATTTTATAAATGATTTTATTCTATGTTATTTTATTACTATCAGTTCATAAAGTTGTGGATTCATATTTTACTTTGAGAATGCAAAAATTCGACAAGTCAAATTTTGTCAGCTTTCATCCGTTGTAAACTTTTTACTACCTATAGAAATATAGTAATGCAAAAATGTCATAAAACTATAAAAACCTAGCCTAACTTGAACCTTCCTCGCCGGCTGCAGGGCAATAATTTGGTTTTAAATTTTGATGTTTTTCCACCTCTAACTGATGGTTAAGTTGATTATTGTCACCTTTTTCATCAAAATAATTTTCTACAAGTTTTATAGCAGTTGTTGCTGTGTATACGTCTAACACCTGCTTAGAAATGCATTGATCTGTGTATACAGGGTGGTAAAAAAGTCCCAGGACAGTTAAATATTTTAAAAAATAATGCAGATAGAGCTACAATACTTGTTACAAAGTTACAGGGCATAAAACTCTATTTTAACACATATTCAGTGATCCAATAACTCTTCAGGGGGACGGCCCACAAGAAGTCGGAAGAAAATCTTAAACGGAAGCATAGGTCAATATGCACATCAAATTAAAGGTCTTTTTTAGTAGAATACAATGCCGCAAACCGCACTTCAAAAGGTTGATCCTGACCAAAATGGCAGATGTTTAAAGATTTCTTGAATCCGCCATTTTGAATCTTTGAACGACTACCATTTTTTACTCAGGCATTCTTTTGAGCTTAAATTCACGGCATCGTAATCTACTAGTGAAGATCTTTAATTTGATGTGCATATCGACCTATGCTTACGTTAACAATTTTCTTCCGATTCCTAGGGCTGTGCCCCCTGAGGAGAAAGCGTATAATAGCAATGTAAATTAAATGAATCTTTGAACAACTGTCATTTTGCGCAGGATCAACCTTTTGAAGTGCGGTTTGCGGCATTGTATTCTACTAAAAAAGACCTTTAATTTGATGTGCATATTGACCTATGCTTCCGTTTAAGATTTTTTCCGACTCCTTGTGGGCCGTCCCCCTGAAGAGTTATTGGATCACTGAATATGTGTTAAAATAGAGTTGTATGCCCTGTAACTTTGTACCAAGTATTGTAGCTCTATCTGCATTATTTTTTAAAATATTTAACTGTCCTGGGACTTTTTTACCACCCTGTATATATGTCTAATGCTTGTGAATTTTGTTTAGGAAAAAAGTTAATTAAAAAAAAAACATTTTAAGACTTCTTAATTATAACTAAAAGAAAAAAAAACAAGACTTATCTAATCATAACAGAATGAAAAATAATAATTAAGATCGTTCAATCTAAACGTAATTTTCAAAAAACAACTCAACACATTTAATGCATCGAATGTATTCCACTAATCTTAATCTTATCTTACTAGATTTACTTCACTCAAGAACACGTAAACTCTGTGCGAAACAATAACAAGAGGTTGACTCAGCTGACTGGTTTTTGTAAACAACAGATGTTATGAGATCAGTAATGCCAAACCCCATTTAGAAATTAACCACAAAAAATAAAAAGTTATTGTACCAATAATATTGATTAATGGCCTAAGGTAATTGTTGACTGCTATAAAACAACTTTAAAATGACCCTAAGACAACCTAAAACTAAAATGCAAAGACTAATTTAATCTGTGAGTTAAATAATGATTCTACATCAGTCACTGTTCTGTTGCAGACTGTGTATGTTCGATGGGAACCTCCACCTAAGGATGGCCAGAACGGAGTTATAACAGGCTACAAAGTGAGGTATCGCAAGAAAGACATGAGGGGCCGAGGGGACACCCAGACTGCCGCTGGAAACCAGCGATTCTTTGACATCCAAAACCTCGATAAGAGCTCTGTAAGTAAACAAATCTAGCTATACAGTGTGGTTTTAACCCTTAGGAGACAAACTTCCGATTTTCGGAAGATAGTTTTTTTTTGCTAAAAAACGAACTTCCGATATATCGGCAGTTTAAATAAACGATTATCTCAACAACAAAAAATCTAAAAGAAACACAACAAAATAAGAATCATGCGAAAAATAAAGAGGGATTAAAGAGGGCTGCTATTCAAAATTTATAGCATTTTTTCTATAACATTGCAGAAACTGTTAAAAGTACCCTGGTCCTAATCAGCATTTCGTATACCATAGGGTCGGTCTCTAAAGGGTTTATGATTGAGCAAAAACACCTCAACAAAGAAGATACACCAAGAACAGCTGTTTAACAAGTCTCATGTTGTTTGTTGTTTTACCACCACCCAGTGTTTGCGTGTATCAAACACTCTTTTATCATGTGAAACAACAACAAGAGTTCAGTAAGTTAACGAATAATTTATTATCATTACTATTGTCACAAAACACACATCACATTATAAAAGTTGATTCTCGATAAAGTGAAACGTTCAGGATGAGTGGGGCTCTCCTCCCCCCCCCCCTCATGGAGCAACGGATTACCAGACAGTTTGGTTATCAAAAATGTTTCTTAAATTAATCTATAAGTAAATAAATGTCAAGGTGTGGTTCTTTTTTTACTATTCAACTATTCGGGTTTAAATTAATCAGTTAAGGTATTTTTCAGTCTTAGGATGTTTAGACCAATATTTGAAAAAATTCTTAAGCAATATAGTTAGTACATTTTAGTACACGTTGAAGTTACATTATAAAATGTTGCTGGAAGCTACATACACAGTGGATAAGGAAACCAATTTTGAATATAAGTACTGTATAACCTATATTCTTGATCCAATTATATTTGCCTGTGTTAAATAGGTTTAAATGTTGAAAATGTGAAAAATGTCTCTACCCACTTCATTTTTAAAGCTCAACTGACAAATAATCGAAAGAAACGCATACCAATGTGCTTATTCCACCCACATACCCCCACCATACACTACATGGACTTGAAACTGCAGCAAGAAATACGTTTGACACTCCTCTCGAATAATATCCAATGACTTATTTATCACAGTGTCTGATTACCGAGGGGGTTGGATTTCCAGGGTCTCCTGTATCGACTACTACCTTATTGACTGCCAATGATTTGCATATGAATCTATAAGCTTACATTATGTTCCAGGTGTATCAAGTACGATTGTTTGCGATGAACGTGAATGGCACTGGACCTCCCACGGACTGGTACACTATAGAGACTTACGAAAATGATCTGGACGAGAGTACTGTGCCTGAAAATCCAGCGTCAATTAGAGGTAAGTTCAAGTTGTAAAATGTTAATGGCACACAAGTCAATGTGTAAAACGTTGTGATAAGATTTTTGTTGCACAGTTTATCATCACTGTGCCTCATCAATACCGAGGGCTGCGGTTTGTGTCTGCATACCAGCCGGGGATCCTTGAGGAGATTCTCTGGTGTCTTGGGAAGGAGAAGTCATTCGCGACACACCCCCAACGGCAGAACCAGAAATAGAATTTTTTATATTCTCTTATCTCCTCCATCATCACTTTGCTCTCACTTTTGTTTACCGATTCATCAGCAGTTTCCACATCAAATCTTATCCTCACTAAGTTCAATCCAGCAACGGTCCATAACATTCAATTATCATATTGGGTTTGTCACTTATAATTCAATGAATATTGCAACAAATTTTACAATTTACATTGCTTCAAGATTTCAGCCGTTATTGCCAATAAACTAATTATTTTAGTGGATTTTTTACTTAATAAGGCATTTGAATGAAATATTTTGTACTGTTCTCGTCGATGTATATTTATTTTATATTGAATTCAAAATATGGTATAGCTTGATTAATTTGTGTTTTCAGTTAAACCGAGCACAAACTCCATCACTGTTTCGTGGACGCCTCCAGCTGATCAGAATGTCATGGTCCGAGGCTACACTCTGGGCTGGGGCAAAGGCATCCCGGACGCTTATCGTAAACTGTTGGATGGCCAAAAGCGATATTTTGTCATTGAAAACCTTGGTAAGTACAAACACAAGACTGCCTTGTTTAGTTCTACTCATATTACTTATGACGTGTGATGATGCATTCAAATTAAAAACTACCGCAATTGAATTTAATTGTAACAAACACTGTAATAATATTATAGTTAGGAAAAAATTGAGGATACATACTGACCCTGTTGTTGCCATAAACGGTGGGAGTAAGCTGGTCTTGTGGTGCGCAGGACTTTGGTCCTCAATGTTTAGGGTTCAAATCCTGCCAATCACTTATGGTTCTTAGCTTTGTGATAACTTGAACCTTTGGGCCTAGCCTGAAGTAATGCGTAAAAAGGTTCAAAGCTAGAACCTAGCGTCTTAGGATGTAAAAGAATATTTAAAAAAGAATTGTTGCCAGAATCAGCTGTTAAGTAAGTATGTTTTCCATTATTTTGATTAGTTCCTTTTTAAACTATCAATTAATGTGTATGTATAAGATATGTTTTTCTATGAGCAAACCTGATGTTAACATTGGTGTGTTACCTTCAGAGCCCAACTCCGAGTATGTGATCAGTCTGCGTGCATGTAATGCGATGGGAGACGGACCAGCCAAGTATGAGTCAACCCGTACTAGAGATGAGGTCCCTCCGGAGCCACTCACCCCCCTCATCCCCCCTGTGGGTCTCAAGGCCATCGTCCTTTCATCCACCACAGTTGTGGTCTATTGGACAGACAGCACACTATCTCAGAGCCAGGTATCCATCTGTCATACTCTTTATTTTCAACTCCCTGGGATTCTTTATTCCCTTTAGGACATCATGCATGCAATATATCATTTTTTAAATAGGTTATTTTTAATAAATCTTTTATGAGTCTTAATTCATTTAGTAATTTTTAGGGGTGTGCGAAGCAGCAAAAAATTTTCGATTCGAAGCAACAATTCGATTCAAAAGATTTTCGATTCGATTCGATGCAACTCGATTCGAAGCAATACGGTATTTTTCTATTCATAATTGTCAATTGAGTGGATTAACAATAATTAAAATTTATCACATTTGTGTAATACAAATTTTTTTTTTTTTTTTTTTTTTTCAATTAGTTAAGATGGGGACGCCACTATGTGCGTATTTTAACCCAAATATGAGTGAAGGATGAGTGTAGGATGAGTGGCGCGATCTTGTAGTCTTGTTAGAGACTAAGGCCGATATGTTCCTTAGACACAGCTGTTAATTAATAGCCCATACAGCTAATGGCAACTAAGGGACCTACAGTTTATAGTGGAATCCGAACCACATTTTTCCTTGTAATTTACGAATTGGTCTAATTATCAGGATAGTACTGCGGATAGTCGTAGTACTCACTAGTGCGGACGTTAATCCACACCAGGGAGCATCGCATCCACAGTGCATCCCTATAAATATCCACAATTCGTGACCTCCTAGTAGCTGGATTACAGGACGACGCCACCCGTCCCAGTCTTATTGATGTGGTATTAGGCCTATTCATACTTACATATGAATTTTAGGTGAAAAAATATTTATTTTCAATCATATGTATTAGAATAACTGCTGGAAATACCAGTGAGCTGCTTTACTTGCCTATTTCATAATTTTTACTTGGAATTGGCTCAACTGCAAGAAAGAAGAAAATATTTTTTTTATCAAGACATTCATTCTCATTTGAATAACTGTTTAAATAACTAAATAGGTACCGGTAGCTAAATTACAACAAATTTGAATGGAACTTAATATAAAAAGACCATTAAGAAATAAATTTACATATCACAAGTTTAGGGCCTGTGGACCGGCTTCAGGACTGCAAGCAAGAAGAAAATAAAAATAATATGTTTCCACCATGCAACATGTATCATTCATTCCCTGCCTCCTAACCTCCTTAGTATAATAACCCCACACTTACATTATTTGTTACATCATCATAAATAAAGAATTATTATTGGCATCAGTAGGCCTACAGCTTTACCTAGGCATTATTTTTATAGGGCCTAAAATAGTAATAGGCTAGAAGCAACATGTCAAGTGGAGAACTCATTGAAGAAAAGATATTGTGTAAACTAATTTCCTATAAAACTCAAAAACAGTAAATAACATACAAACATTGTTTATGGTATAATTAATAAGGACTAAAAAATGCATATCATGTCATACAGTAGTATAGACCTACCGGTACTGCAAGAGATTAAAATCCTAAAACAACTGATTTTGATAGCTAATGAATGAAAAGAATTAAAAATCCATAAAATGAAGCTAAACAATATCACAACTAATTAGGTACCCGAAAAGTAACTCTTAAATAATATATAGAAGATTAAAATAATATTAAATCAAGAGACAAGAAAGTTAAATGCTATCTTCTAGTGCCCTTGGCAACACAGGTCAATGTTTTTAAACTACCCTCAATGTTTTTGGAACAGCAGGGCCTTTTTCTCTTAAGGAAGGGTAGTAGTATGTCAACAAAAACAATGAATCAGTCTCACCAGCCAGGCCCGGGCAACGATGTGTGAATTCAAGGTCATAGACCCTCCCCCTCCCCTCTTACACCACCCGGTTGCTACCCAGTTGCTTCAATTGCTGACAAAATGCAAGTGATGAAACAAGGAAGTAGAGACAAAGAAATATATTTCTTTATTCAAAAACACAAAACTGTTAGAGATTATTTTCAAAGAAATTAATTCAATGTAATTTGTGAGTTGTAAATATTGTATTGGATCTTAGAAATATATTTTTTTAACCCTATTTAACCAAGATACAGATCTGTTCACTATATCAGATATTTCTTTTGTTTATAATTTATTATGTAAAATACTAAAATATATTTTTAATTAGGTATTGAATGAACAATAAATGATTATACTAGTATGTCTGGATAAATAGTCTTTCTATTCTTTTGACTTTGTTTTCTTTGCACTGTTAGTGTTGCATCACGGCTTTTGTCTTGTTACTCTTATCAGTAGACGACTAGACCTGGCTCTGGCTAGTGGCAGTGCGGCAATTGCTCTGTTGTGTCTTTATTCTTAAAGGTCGTGAGCCAACTTAATTTTTAATTCTCATTTGAACATTTTAATTCCTCTGTAATAGATGTAATAATATAAGAGTGTTTCTTTGGAAATAAATTATTCTTTTTTTTCTTTTGCCCCAACAAAAATTCGGGGACGGGGACCGACAGACACCTAACAAAAATACCAAATGTATCAGTCTATAACATTGATCTTACTAGTTAAGTATTAAGTAACAATTTTTCAGACTTATTTTTAAAATGATTTTGGAGTAACCTACCTTGTTTTGGCTAGGTTCACAGTAGTAAAATATTTCACACACTGCTTACATCAAGACAAAAAACAAAACCTCTAATCATTTGCAATGTCAAAACAAAAAAATATAAAACAATTAAAGCTATATTTAATGCAAAGAATGTATTAAATAAGAACGCCTTCGTAAAGGAAACGCAACAGCAACGCGCTCCTGTATTGCGGGTATTGCATTGACTTTCTGCAGGCGTTTTTCGTATATGGATACTGACTCCCTCGTGAATCGAATCGTTTTTTGACCACCACTGAATCGAATCGCGATTCGATGCATCGAATCGAATCGAAATTTCGATGCATCGCACACCCCTAGTAATTTTTAAATACTTTTCACTAGATGGTAAGATTTTACTGTATCAAATACTTTGTACAGATACTTTATATCTGATTTGATTCATTTAAGGAAAGTCAACAGCTGTATTGTTGGTCAAAAGGAATTTAATAGTAGGGATGGACGAGATTAGATTTTTTGTTCGAGACAAGACGAGACGGGATTTTTTATTCCTCATAAAATTTTGAGGCGTGATCAAAAAAATAAAATAGATAACTTCCAAAAGAAAAATCCTGGAATTTACCTCAGTTAGGCCTACTATAGACAAGAGATTGTTTATATAAAACACTACGTCACTTCCTACCAAAAAAGTAGTCTTACATCACGCATTTATCAAAACTTAAAAACATTCTATAGTAAAATATCCCTATATTTACAATAGTCATGAACCAATCTAGCTTCTTGCTCATAATTTTTTTTTCAGTTCTATTTTTCAATTCATTTAATTCATGTCTTAACTTAACAAATACGAATGATAAGAGCCGGCCAATCAAAAGTCAAGTTATAAATACTCTCTCCTGGTTTAACCCATAGATCAAACAGCCTAACCTGAAGGTTTAATTCGAACCTAGTTTAAACTGAGAAACGATTTTTGGAAAAGTGAATCTGAGGTTAAACTATAATCAGAGCTAAATTATATTTTAAAAAAGCTGTTTAGTGTCAAATATATTCAGTGTCACTACTAGAAACCATCTCATTGCTCCAATCTTTTGTTCTTTTCAGTTGGTAACTGACAACAGATACTATGTTGTTCGGTTCTCGTCTTGCCATCACTCGGGAAATCCTCGGTACAAGGAATACAACTCTACTGACCTCAACTATATGATTGATGATCTCAAGCCAAACACACAGTATGAGTTCACCGTCAAAGTTGTCAAGGTAACTATCTTAAATTATATTTTTGCTATTTTGTTAGCTTAAACTAAATTCAGACACAGGTAGTTAAACTTTGAATTACACTTTTTTAGTTCTTTAGATTAGTTATATTTAGTGATGTAGAAGTTGGTGAGTCAGTGGCTCAGTTGTTAGCGCAACACAGGCAGTGATATCGTGGGTTCACGTCCCAGTGCCGCCACTCAACATTTCTTAGTACAGTTCATTCTTCTACTGTAATGACTCACCCCTGGCTTTGCTTGATTTTCATCCAGAGTCCTCTAAGGCCATGAGGATAGGAAAATGTAAGACGAAAAGAAGTCGTCAACCTAAAAAATAATTAAATACCCTGTGAATCACATTACATAACTACTAGTGAAACATCATTATATTTTCAAACAATCACTCATTGTAAATTAGGAACCTGAATGCACATTTAACATCTGCTCTTACTGGCGTCGCCTACCGTAACTACCATATCTCATCCCCACATACATTAACCAGCCAAGTTCTTCGTTCTCTTGCTGCCTACTGACTCCTTACTTGCCGCGGTGGTCAGCATGATGAACGTAATTCTTACCTTTTTGTGGAATGCCGAGCTCCACAATTTTAACGGAAATACTGAGTCATCTTAGATTGTGTCAATTAAGATGGTGTGAAAAAAGGGATGATGCAAAGGCTGCCAACAACACTAAGAGTCACACCACAGACGCTAGTGGTACGGTATTGGTTGAATCCAATGGCAAATTAGTTGGTGAGGTGACTATATAGTTGAACAAAAGCGACAGTAAAGGAGGAAAGAGAAAATCCTGGTCGCCACTCTAACTGACATGGTTGTCTTTAACCCTCCCAGTGTTACTTGACGAAAATTCGGCAAGCACCACACTTTGTATAGTGTTACTTGCCGATTTTTCGACAAGCAGACATCGTTTACGGCGAAGGCTCTATAACTGACTGAATCGGATTGAACTGGATCGAGTTAGGTATCGTTCTTTCCGTTACATTCTAAGCTGTCTCCAGATGTCTGTCTCTAAGCGCTATTCATTTTAGTTCTGAAAATATTGTAGCAGACAGCTGACGTGCGTGTATTTGTAAACAGCTAGGTTCCCCCGGACCGATGACTGATGTGTTTTATTACGTTTATCATTGTTTTAGTGTTAAAAATCAAAAGTAGTGATATACGTGGTGCATTATAAGAAGATTTAAGTGGTTTTGAAGTGCTGGTTGATGATCCTGAAGAAGTAGGTAGTGATATTGATGTAAATTATCAGCCAGATTCCTAGCTATGGTTAGGCTATGCATTCTTAGCTAAACGCTATGTACTGAAATCAGTTTTTTGCCCATAACTTATTTATTTGCAAATATACTTCCTTATATTATTATATATTTGTAATCCTCATAAAATTTAGAACAAAGTGGCTATTTTCAAATATTTATAGGCCTATAATTTATACAATTTCATTAGGCGCGAACTTATTTTTTTTTTGAAAATTTTCGAAATTATATTTTTTTTACCTAAAAAATTTTTTTTTTTGAAAAAATGTTCCTTATGTTTTATATATAATATTGAAGCCCATGATTTTCCAAACAAAATGGTATATAGAACATTAGAATTAACATTGTTTTAAGCTTCTCAGATCCGTTTTAATAAAACCTTGCACATGCGCCAAAAATAGGTGGACATTAAGGCCTAAACTATGGACACTTGGAGGGATAAATTTTTGTAACCAAAACCATAAGCAAGTTTTCACTCAGATTACTTTTTTGTATTTTTCCTACTATAAGGACGTAGTACAAAAAAATTATTAACAAAACTTTTTTTGTTTGATATTTGTCTGACAAATGTTATGTGTGACAGGGACGTAGGGAAAGCAGATGGAGTATGGTGGTGTCAAACACTACTATGGAGGACGCTCCATCATCACCACCCCGAGATCTTACTGTAGTCCCGGTGGAGGGTAACCCTACCATGGTCAACCTCAACTGGCAACCTCCGAAACAGCCCAACGGACAGATCACTGGTGAGAAAACCCTATGAATTTGGGATAAGTTGACATCCCATCTATTCGGACCAGCTGTAGCCATTTTGTTCAATAAGAACATGCCACTGTCTAATTAATATTTTCTCTTCTTAGTTCTTGTTCTTGTGATAGTTGATGTGATATAAAACATTATCTTTCTACTAGAATTTCTCTCAGTTTGGTTTGGATAAAAATTTGACGGAAATCAGTAATTTACATCAGCGCTTACTGTTTATGGCTCAGTTCCCTCATAAATGAGTACAAATGTAGACATCCCAAGTATATGGACCTCTTTTTATCGAAATATATCCCTCTGCAGCAAACTAAAATGTCCGAAGCATAGTTTAATGTACAAGTAGTGTTTTCAATCACAATGTTGCTTAAAGGCTAAATTGAAAGTAAGTATTAACTCTCCACTTAGCAGTAAAAATGAACTTTTTAAACTCTGTATAACTAATAACTATGTGATCTTTTGCTACCTCTTTCCATTCCACAATCCCCAAACTTATAAATGATCGGTAAAACAACTAATCTAGTCATATATCAAATAATTTATGTCTGTAACTGAAGTTTGTCACAAACACAACCAGAAATAAACCCTACAAAATAAAAACAAAAAATGTATTGATTACAAGTCTACCTTTACAAGTGCTTCATTTTGGATTTAAAACATGTGATGTTCTTTGTATTTGCAGGTTATGTTGTGTCATACACAACTGACTTGTCCAAGAGAGATCGAGATTGGGTCGTGGAGGGAGTCATGGGAGATAAGATGACCAGTAGTATCAAAGGCCTAACTACCAGCACTACCTACTACTTCAAGATACAGGCTCGGAACAGCAAGGGCTACGGGCCGATGTCCAACACGGTGTCAATGACTACAGGGCCAGGTAAACTAGGCTACTACCTGCTTGTGTGCTACGGGTCGATTGTTGTGTGGGTGGATTCCTGTAATTCAGCAACGTTTTAAATGTGTTGTTTTAAAGCTATTCATTTTTAAGATTTGTTTAAAAATTCCCATATGAGGAAATCAAACCAATAACTTGCTTCTGGTGGGTTGAGGCCTACAGGATAGTTTTCTAGCCCGGAATTGTTTTCCTACATTACTTCAGGTTAGGTCTAGGGGGGGGGGGGGTCACAGCATTATTACTTTACAAATCCATTCGTGATTGGCGGGATTTAAACCCAGGACCTCAGGATTCAATTCCCACGCTCTGCCATCAGCTCTAGACCAGCTCGCTCCTACCTACAGGTTATTGAGCTCAAGACTACTTTGTAATAGTGTAAAATATACGACTGTGACACTTCTCCTTCCTGACCCAAAAATATCAGGGATCCGCAGACCCCTTTTTATGTATTCCTTTCTAAGTCTTGGTGTTAAATGTTGAAGTTCTTCTATTTTGACATTTAAGAGCTCAAGTTTACCTAGCTCTACTTTTATAAGTAAATGGGGTATGGAATATAGTGTTTGGTAGGTTTATCATACACTTATTGTACACTTATTACTCTGAATTAATCAGTGACCAGTGGCGATTCTAGGACCTTGTCTGGGGATGGGGGTGTTCCATACCCTCAAGAAAGAAGGGTGCCCAGCGATTATCTCCTGCCCTATAACCCCCCCCCCCCCCTCTTTGGAACCGCCACTGTCTGTGACTTTTAAACACAAAATTTGTGATTCTCGCTCCTTAATCTTGTTTTTGGTTTTTAATCCCTAATTTAATAATTGTCTTCTGGTTCAATATTTTCTAATTTTGCCTCTAAGTTCTCCATTTTTGATTTTAACTCATTGTGTTGGCCTCTCGAAGATCTGTTTTGTATCACATTCCCTACTTTGGTTGAAATTTCGGAAACAAATTTTTATTTAATATGCTATCCATAAACTTGTTTTGTTGTAAACTTGACTGTTTCCACTTCTCTTAAAGAGTTGTCTAGTAATTGAGGATCTTTGGGGTTTGTTCTGGGTTGACTGATAGGGTTGTGAGGCTAAGGGTCTTATGACTAAGGGTGAGTTAAGCTTGGCTATGTATCTGTGGTGTGTTTATTGTTATAATTTACTACTTCTTGTAATTCTTTGCAAAATTAATTTGTAAAATGTTTTAGGTTTACCATTAACCTTTTGCATTCAATGTAGTAGTTTCTTTTACAGTTACAGTTTGTTATTGCCAAATATTTTAACATTTAAGGTTAGGGTTTTGCAACTCTTTGGTGAATCCGTTATATCAACTGCGAGCTAAAATGGCCAGCAAACTAACTCAGTAGCCATAGTTTGTTATGAGCTTGCGACTCTTATTTAGTTCAGTATTCATGAATTTATATTTAGTTCATTGTTTGAAGGTAGCTCGTTTTGTGTCCCTTACTCGTAGATAGACTTAAGTATGGTTATGCGTTTTGATTCCTAAACATTTGCACGATAATTTTGTATGTTTGTTAGTAGTACTTTTCCAAAAATATTTGTGATGATTGGAATGATAATCAAGCTGAAACAATTAATTGTTGAGTTGGATAGAGTAATGTTTTTGGCAATATTGGAAACCGTAGAATAGAACTGACGGACATTAAATTTAACTAGTATACCTGAGTATCTAGATTTCAATTAACAAAACTAACACCTAACACTTAACACCATAAGCAACAATAGTCAATAAGGAATTATTTTTTAAATGAATTGCAATTTTTCCTTACGTTATTAATTAAAATAATCTGTCCATAAATAATACCAAAGACTTATTCACATTAATGTAAGGCAGAAACAATTCACTTTGAATTAAAAATTCTTACAAAGATATTAGATGTGTTGATCGTTTAGATTATTTTCAGTCTTATTTTAGTTTTAGGAAATAACCTTGTGACTAGTTTTCAAATTAATTTGTTTTGAAAGTTAAATAGTTTTTTTAATGGTTTCATGAAAAATTATTAATTTTATTAAAGAAGGTTTCATGAAAAATTATTAATTTTATTAAAGAAATAATCTGCCAACAAATTTTCTAAGTTATTATTTCGCTCTAGTTTTTGTGTTGTCATTGCTTTGCTAATTAGATGTTGTGTACTTATACTGTTTCTAAGTTACAGAATTGTTGCATGACTTGATGTTTTGATTGGTTGTATTAGGCTCGAGTTTCCGACATTATGATTCGGCCCATTCATCTCGAGGTAAGTTTTTGTTGATTTTTATCTTTATTTGCTAAAAACTAATTTCTAAGAGTCAGTTTCGGGTACAAGGTATTGCAAAATATATGTAAAACTGTAACCTCTTTTTTTGCCATCCAGTTCACGCTTTTTCTGAGTGTTCGTCAAATACCTTAATTTTTCAACTACATTGATGTTTTTAGCAAATTTCCGTATATGGAAGTAGTTATTGCCATAGTGTTTGGTACAGGATTTAGATCAAGGACCACTCTTTGTTTTAGCCTTCCCATAAGTGTTACTTTTTATACACTTATTTTTGTTTAGAGAAAGTAACTAAACATATTATAGACGTTATGTTCTAGGTCTGGATTTAGAATTGCGGAATCAAGAGGAAAGCAGGATCTTACTTTAGAAGAATGCAGGTAGATCATAGAACACAGAGGATACATAAAAACACAAGATTTTGTCAATACCCAGTGGACGAAATATTCTATTTTTGTGTGTCTTTTTGTGTTCTATGATCTACCTGCACTTCTTCTAAGGTAAGCTAACTGCTGTCCTCATTCCAAGATACTAAATATTACAGACATGGTCAAAGTCAATAGTTTGTTGTCTAGTTATCTGTTTGATAAGTTTGAAACTTAAAATTTTGATAAATGTGTATATTGCCTCTGCTAAAAAACCTTAATAATTTGAAGATTATAGCTATTTAATCTATCAACATTTGTATCTGTTAGTTTAAAACATGAGCCGTACCTAACCAAGAAGAAGGGGATTTTTGTTGAGGTTTATTCGTACCCCATGAATAATTGTTTCGCCTTTACCAGAGCAAACATATTTTGTATCCCCCGTAGCAGCAAACCTGACCCAGTTGTTTCCGCAGATGCCCGTGGAGGACTCAGCAACATGACTCTATTGCTGATCCTTCTGGCCTGCTGCGTTCTGCTCATCGCTGGAGTGGCAATTGGCATCGTCATCGTGTGCTGCAGAAAAGCCTCTGTTTCCCAGGACCGAAGCAAAAAGGGGTAAATATCCATTAGTAAACAAATTTAGAGTACAATTTGCTTTTACCTTACACAATGTCATTACTATGAGATATTGAAGAAAATTGGTCCTAGGGGTAATGCAGTTATTGATTCTTGTTTTTTGCGAATTTCTATGTAGGAAATAACTATTACCATTGTAAAACCTTATACGCAAGTTAGCTAGTAGAGAGTGGGGCTTCAGTTCCTGAGGTCTCAGGTTCAAATCCTGCCAATCACCAATAGCTATAGCTATGTGATAATGTCGACCTCTTAGGCCTAGCCTGGAGTAATGTGTAAAGCAGATTCTGGCTAGGGCCTCAGGATCCTAGGATGTGAAAATAGGACAAATACCATCATAAGACCTAGGTCCAGGACTGGGCTGTTTCATTTTAGGGTCCTCCAGAAGACAAAAACTTATGCCATGATCAGTGCCAGATTTAGTGTACTTGCGGTCCTAGGCAGGCACATATAACCCGAGCGGCCTCCACCCCTTTGGTGGAACTTCCCGGCGATCACAGGGACATTGTCATCGTCACCCACGATCGTGGTTGAATCGTGATCTCCCGCTGTCTAGGATACATTGTTATCGTTGCCCAAGAGCGTGACAAATTATTTATTTTAAAAATAAGTATAGTTTATAGTATTTATAGTATTTTTTTTTTTTAAGTAAAAATTTCAATTTTTTTTACAAAAGTCGTATTTGTACAGAGCAACCCCCTTTTGATTGAGTAGTAAATCTGGCACTGCTTGTGATCACTTTATTTCCCATACTTAGCGTACACTATACTTTCAATGTATATTCCACACACACACACACCTTACATTCTACAATTTATCTAACAAATTATTGTAGACACTTTCCATCATGATTAGTAAATAAAAACTATTTTTTCACAACGTTTCGGGATCTAGAATCTAAACTTTCCTTTAGGTGAGGAATTATCAAAATATCACAAGAACTCTCCAAACATGACAGACAACTAACATTCATTTTGTGTTCATTTGTTTCAGCTACACCAAAGGAAACACAGGAAAACCTGGAGCAAGTAACATAAAACCTCCAGATCTGTGGATACATCACGATCAGATGGATTTAAAGAACATGGAGAAGTCTTCTCAGGGATCTCTCGATGTTCCGTCGTCTGCTAGGGACCTGGATATGGACCAGCCCACCAATTCTCTGGACAAACGTACCTACGGCACATCCTACATAGGTATATGTTGTTCTTTTCAATTATTATCTGTGTGCTTGACAATTTTTTCACTATTTAACTGTCATTATGTGTTATTTTCATCAAAACACTTTGGACAGAAAATCATTTTGGGTTCAACTGAATTAGGTTGAACATGGTTTTAGTCCTGATGGAAACCATATATTTGTTCACTACCTTTGGAAAATGTGTAAAAGCAAAATTATAACATTAACTATTTTTAGGTTTGTCAGCTTGCTGTATTTGTTACTAACAAACTCCTAAGTCAATGAAGGAACATTTTGTGCTATACCTAAAAAGTGACATTCAACACATACTAAGTACAAATCAGTATTAGTGAACCATAGGCCACTTTGTCTTAGGTTATATTTTCATACTCAGATAATCTCAAACACCATATAAATAAAATGGTTTACATGATTCTAAAATAAACCTTACTATTTCGCTCGGATTTTATGATTAGGCTTTATAAAGATTCTCACATTTTATTTTTAGACCATTTTATGAGTATTATTTTTTTCAACACAAGACCTTACATGTAACATGCATTTACATATTTTAACTTTATTTTGCTGTAATTACAACTGAGTTACTTTGTATCCAGCATCAGTTATTTGTTTGGTTTGGCATGCTCATTTTTCATTGGTATCCCAGGAAATGCCTCCCAGCCGCTGCTTGTTTCGGAAGAGAAATGCTCGTCTGCTCGGAGGGTAGTTAAGCCAAAACCAATAGCTTTGCCAGTCGAAAGCCAACCTTTGCGGGAACGTAAGTTTTCATGTTTTGTTGCTTTTGCATGTTTCACAATTAAACTTTAGATGTTTTTAATCTTTTGAAAGTGTTTGATTTGCAACAATTAATTTATTATTAAAGGCTATGCTATTGTAACAAATGTTGCATTAATTTTTAAACAATCATACTTACTCCTAGAAGGTTAGGAGAAAGATACAATTGGAATATTTCAATACCAAGTCAAATGTGGTTTATTCTGATTTAAAAGTATTGTATCATGTAGAACCACTTTTTATTGTAAACATAGGGGCATTTACTTTATTTAAATTTACTCATTCTCATTTTTACTGTGGATGCTCAGAAAATTTTTATTAACATTTGTTTTCTTACAAAACAATAATCTTGTTAGGCTATAATTTTTTTTTCTTACACATAACTATTATATAATTTTTAAAATATTTTGTTACTTTACTAGACCTATATCTGGGGTGAAAATATCCTGCGCTTATCTAGTTTTGTTTTATTTCATAAATCTCATATGTTTAAAATCTACAAATTTGTTCCATAACATCAAGTATTGCTTGTTTCCTTGAAAAAGTGCATAACTGATTGATTTATTTCTAACAGAGTAGGGTTTATTTTGCTCAGCTGCTGAGTAAATCAGTGAATCAAGGCATAGTGGTTTAGGACACATAATTATTTGCCCTACCACTACAATGAATGATTACATTGCTACACCTGTAAACAGTACATAAAATAGCTCATTTCCGCTTTATTCATTACCGCTTGTTAAATCGGCTGATTTCACTTTTGGCGTTACTATAAAACACTAACAATCGGTAAGCAAATAACATAACCTGAAAAAAGTAAAATTGAATTTGTTATACAACTAAAAAGTAAATCTGTGTGTAATAAGTAAATTTTGGTTGTGGAAAAATCCTGCGGGTTTTACGAGCACAAACTATCATTGCCTCTCTCAAAACGTATGACCATACACAATTTTTGAGTTGCAATGATGCACTTTGCACTCTACATAAATAGCTATTACAACATGATACAGTACTTGGTCAATTGTATGACCTGCTCAAAGTGAAAAAACAAGTGTTTCTTCCGACTTTTATTCTTATCACCCCTCTCCTTTTAAGGGAATTCTTCCACAAAAATACCTTTTTCCTTTCTTGAAATGATTGCTGGAATACTCATAATTTGTATTGTTATTATATGTTTCCTTTATTGAATGTAATACTTGCAGCCTCTTTTATTGAATGTAATACTTGCAGCCTCAGCCACTGCCACGCCCATTGGTCCGAGCACAGGCCTGCTCAGCTCTCAGAGCATGTCGGACACTCGACCACTCTACCCTCGCACTCAATACTCCATATCTCGAGCGCATGTCACACTTGACCCAGCTGGTAAACCAGATCAGTTTTTTTTTAAATTTATTTTAACATCCAACGGTCATGAACGAGTTAACAATAAATACAGGGTTATTACAAATGATGTTCCTGATTTTGATTATAAATATTACTGGGTTAATTTGTTTCAAGACTATTTTAGTTGGTACCATTGGAAAGAAAAACTCATAAAGTTTCATTTACATTGGTTTGGGTGCATATCAGCTGTTTGTCAAGCCAATTGTTGTAAGTGTTGTGTAATGGCTGAATTTGAAGGCAGGAAAGCTTTTTGCCAGTTGGAATATTACATTAACCAATCTGTTATTAGTGTGCAACGACACTTTAGAACCAGGTTTAAAGATTATCCTCCTAGTAACCACTATATTGGCAAGTGACACTTGAAATTTAAGAGAAATGGCTGCATTTGAATGTTACTTTTAGTAGGGCTGAACTTAACAATGTGCTGCCTAAAATATGGAACGTGCTCGGTGGTCTTAATAATGACACACCCCTGAAATGGCCTACAAGATCTCCGGACATCACCCCCTGATTTTTTTCTTGTGGGGATACATCAAACATAAGGCGTACACACCACCATAATCAGATAGCATACTTGAGATCCAGTAACGGATTACCAATGCTACCGAAACAATAGACCTAGGCAAACTTTTCAAAGTCTAGCAAGAGCTTGACTACATTATTGGCATCTGTCGTACCACAAGGGGTTCCCATATCGAGCATTTACAGTTCTGTGTATCTGTGTCAAAACTTTTTGAGTTTTTCAAAAGTTGTAACCATTTTATTTCTTTGTATAACAAATAAAACTATATTTTATGTATGTATGAAATCATGAACATCATTTGTAATAACCCTGTATACAAGATGAGGTATTCTAGCTTAATTAGTAAATACAAATTGTTCTTTTATATGACATTCAATAACAAATAAATATAATTGAGTAGTGACAAAAAAAGTAAACAAATGGCTTAACTAATGTTTACAAAAATGAGATCACTACATAAAATTGGCAAAACAAATTGATAAATAAACAACTAATAAACATTAACCCATTCCGCTCAATTGGCGGGGGAGCCCCGTTGTTCGTCATGGCCGCACAAACTCTAATGTCGGGCCAGGCCCGCCCGTCGCTATGCCAATAAAGGCCCACTATGCTTGTATTTTGATTTTTTTTTCTTTTTTGGGGGTTTTGTGTATTTGGAAAAAAGATTACCAGTCTTCTATAAATCAAGACGAGATTTACTTTTTGGTCAACAAATGAAATAGGCAAATTTGGCTCAGATTAAATGGAGCTGGTGAGAAAATAGGCCTCCTGTAATTGTTGTGGAAAGGGTTAACAACAAACAAAAAATACAAATAGTTTATGTGTTATAATACTTACTTTTCATCACATTATATGCAATGAACAGCTGGATTGTGATCTTTTAGATTAGAAAGTTATTTACTAAATAGGGATCGTTAAAATCAACTTGAGTGGGGTAAAATCAGCTGGAAATCTGTAAATTTACTAATCACCCTTACAGGACACTTTGTTCAAAACAACACATGTTCGGGACATTGTGTCCTATGTTTTCAAAAAGGCGTAATTAGGCATTCAATGAAGAAACGAGTATGATAAATCGAGTATGATAATTCGAGTATGATGAAGAGTATGCTAAATACAATTTTTGAAAGTCAAGTGGCTGGTTATAAATATTGTCTGGTGGATGATTGTGCCTCTAATCTTGTGTTTGTATCACAGGAGACACCGCCAGCGCTGTGATGGTTCAGAGCGGGGCAGGAGGCTATGAGAGTATAGCAGGCGGAGCCAGCGGGGCCCCGGGCCCACCTCAGATCTCCAACTACGGGTTAGTAATGTTATAGTTGCCAATGGCTTTAGGATAGAATATTTTTAACATTCAATATCCTGTATGGTTGTCATACACATATTGTTGTGGCGACCAAGTTGAATTTAGACCACAACAAATAGATTCAAACAAAAAATTGTACATTTTTCAATATTTTCTCTTGTTGTGTACTCGCTGGCTAAATTTGAGCAACTACTGAAATATCTAGTTAAGTCAAACCTATGTGTTGCCTAATGCATCAAAAATAATTGTCCATTCAATTTAGTTTTTATGTTCACTTTTTTGCTTAACCTGAACAATTATTTGCAAACGAAATAAAAACCTCTGATCAAAGGAAGGTGTGTTGATAGCCTAGGGTTTATATTATTTCATATTTTGGAGCAAGAGTCACGAGTTCGATCCCTGGCATACCCACAAAAGTTTAATGGGTGTTCCTTTAAAAGTGGTTGTGATACCTTGGAGCAGGCTCTTCACAACAATAAAGGATGAAGCAGGGAAGGTCAATGTTTCTACTGTTTATTGAGAATCTTAAGAATCTGGTCAATCTCAGGACTGATCCTGGGGTTATGTGTTATGTTTACTGATGTTCTGTTGTTTTCACAGTGTCACAGGTGATGGCACAGGCAGTCTGGGCAAGAGGATGCAAGGACATCCACTCAAGAGCTTCAGTGTACCAGCTCCTCATTGGTTATGTGTTATGTTTACTGATGTTCTGTTGTTTTCACAGTGTCACAGGTGATGGCACAGGCAGTCTGGGCAAGAGGATGCAAGGACATCCACTCAAGACCTTCAGTGTACCAGCACCTCATTGGTTCTGTGTTATGATTACTGATGTTCTGTTGTTTTCACAGTGTCACAGGTGATGGCACAGGCAGTCTGGGCAAGAGGATGCAAGGACATCCACTCAAGAGCTTCAGTGTACCAGCTCCTCATTGGTTCTGTGTTATGATTACTGATGTTCTGTTGTTTTCACAGTGTCACAGGTGATGGCACAGGCAGTCTGGGCAAGAGGATGCAAGGACATCCACTCAAGAGCTTCAGTGTTCCAGCTCCTCATTGGTTATGTGTTATGTTTACTGATGTTCTGTTGTTTTCACAGTGTCACAGGTGATGGCACAGGCAGTCTGGGCAAGAGGATGCAAGGACATCCACTCAAGACCTTCAGTGTACCAGCACCTCATTGGTTCTGTGTTATGATTACTGATGTTCTGTTGTTTTCACAGTGTCACAGGTGATGGCACAGGCAGTCTGGGCAAGAGGATGCAAGGACATCCACTCAAGAGCTTCAGTGTACCAGCTCCTCATTGGTTCTGTGTTATGATTACTGATGTTCTGTTGTTTTCACAGTGTCACAGGTGATGGCACAGGCAGTCTGGGCAAGAGGATGCAAGGACATCCACTCAAGAGCTTCAGTGTACCAGCTCCTCATTGGTTCTGTGTTATGATTACTGATGTTCTGTTGTTTTCACAGTGTCACAGGTGATGGCACAGGCAGTCTGGGCAAGAGGATGCAAGGACATCCACTCAAGACCTTCAGTGTACCAGCACCTCATTGGTTCTGTGTTATGATTACTGATGTTCTGTTGTTTTCACAGTGTCACAGGTGATGGCACAGGCAGTCTGGGCAAGAGGATGCAAGGACATCCACTCAAGAGCTTCAGTGTACCAGCTCCTCATTGGTTCTGTGTTATGATTACTGATGTTCTGTTGTTTTCACAGTGTCACAGGTGATGGCACAGGCAGTCTGGGCAAGAGGATGCAAGGACATCCACTCAAGAGCTTCAGTGTACCAGCTCCTCATTGGTTCTGTGTTATGATTACTGATGTTCTGTTGTTTTCACAGTGTCACAGGTGATGGCACAGGCAGTCTGGGCAAGAGGATGCAAGGACATCCACTCAAGACCTTCAGTGTACCAGCACCTCATTGGTTCTGTGTTATGATTACTGATGTTCTGTTGTTTTCACAGTGTCACAGGTGATGGCACAGGCAGTCTGGGCAAGAGGATGCAAGGACATCCACTCAAGAGCTTCAGTGTACCAGCTCCTCATTGGTTCTGTGTTATGATTACTGATGTTCTGTTGTTTTCACAGTGTCACAGGTGATGGCACAGGCAGTCTGGGCAAGAGGATGCAAGGACATCCACTCAAGAGCTTCAGTGTACCAGCTCCTCATTGGTTCTGTGTTATGATTACTGATGTTCTGTTGTTTTCACAGTGTCACAGGTGATGGCACAGGCAGTCTGGGCAAGAGGATGCAAGGACATCCACTCAAGACCTTCAGTGTACCAGCACCTCATTGGTTCTGTGTTATGATTACTGATGTTCTGTTGTTTTCACAGTGTCACAGGTGATGGCACAGGCAGTCTGGGCAAGAGGATGCAAGGACATCCACTCAAGAGCTTCAGTGTTCCAGCTCCGCCTCCACAATCAGCTCCCTCCACTCCTCAACAGAAACATGTTGGTCAGTAAAAAAATCAGTTGTGATTCATTAACCTACTATTCTTCATAGTGAATCCTAAGACAGGTCTTCCTAGCTGCCGGATAAAGCTGTAGAATTTTGAAATTCGTGCAAGTGTTAAGTATCTGCATTTTTCATCCAGGACATTTCCTATAGTAAAAATTATTCAAAAGCAGAGTAGGTTTATATGTCAGTTTTTAGTAGTCTACTGTTACTGTCCACAGTTTGTCTCATTTTAAGGCGTTCTTAAAATCTGGATGTGCGGTGTGCTGTTTTTACCACTGCTAAATATAATCCAGGAAAATATGTCGGTGCAAGGTGATGGACTGACTGCTCTTGGAGCAGTGGCCCGACTCAGAGTCACTGCTGAAAACCTTCCTTTTGGAGCTAGGAAAATGCCTGTACCTGACCCTTGTGTGTTAGTTTGTGCTGAATAACGCAGATGTATTTGTCAGCTAAAAAAAACTCCTTTAAGACTCTATTGTAGGCATTGCTCTTGCCGCTGAAGAATTCATTCTTGACAATGAAATTAAACAATTAGGTGCAGTGAAACGTCCATGAACTGTCACTCTTAAAAATGTCACTGTCAATCCGTCACCTTAAAAATGTGCATTTTGCTATTTTACTACAGGTTTTTACTGGAATGCTTTCCAAACTTAAGTAATTTATAAATGAATTTGTGTTATAATACGTCTATTGAGATAACTGTCATAGTCCCTTGATGATGGAGGTTTACTGTACCTATATTGAATTACAATTCAGTATCCTACAATCTTAAATACTATTTTTAATCTGAGCCAAACGGAAAAAGAAACCAAAGTGTTTTTTTGGGTTCGGATTCAGCTTCCAGGTCCAGAAATATTCACTGAAAATTGTAAGGGTGTTAAATTTACTAGGAAAAGTTGTGGCGTACATTGGCTATTTACACGTATAGAAGTTGTGGAGCAAGCACAGGCCAGCTGTTTGCATGGAATACGATATAGGCCCAAGAATTAATTACATCCCCTCCCTTCCTCACGGGAGAAGTTTTCTGTTCCTTGTGCCCTCAACAAACCTGAATCCTCTCACGCATCTGGGCCTTGGTCCATTTACTAAAGTGGCCTTTTCCTTTCGGGAAACTGTACTTGAGTTGCCTAAAAGTACTTTCCTTAAACTCTAAGTATACTTTAAAAGTCTTTTTGAAATCAAGAAGGCACAACATACACTTACAATTTCTTGTCTGTAAACAGCCAACACAGCATTTTTACATATTAATCGACCAATTCACCTGTTACAGTGACAGTGCGACCTCAGGGTTCAAGCCCGTACAAGAAGGCGGGGCATTACACAGGGCAGGTTCAGTCCCCAGCCCCCGCCAAAACACGACCTTCTCTCGATGACTCACCAAAGCTACAGGTAAGTTCATTTTGTTGATAATGATCTTGTGGATTCAACTGGTTTATTTTAAACTTTAAAGAGTGAAGTTCTTTTGTGTCTAGATCAAGGCATGTGTCCCCTCAAAAGCTGTTTGTCAGAGCTACAGGAAAATATTGTGATGGATTGTGTAAAGTTATTCTGTTGTCTTTGAAGGCTGCTGGTTCCAATAGACAGTAACGAAGTACTCTATAATATTTCAGATTAAAATGGCATACAGCCAATCTGTATTTCAAAAATATGCATTTCAAACTAGCTTTACGAACAGTGTAAGTTGACAGCAGTAAACTATGTTGTCTAGAATCTGTTTTCTGTCCTAATATCATTTTCCTGGCTCAACAGGTACGAGCGTCAGTTTAGGTATCAAAACTTTTGAAAGGAAAGGCCATGTCCAATAACCCCCCCTTATTGCTTTGTGTCATTGTAATAAGATATTAAATTAACACATACAGGGTGAGTTTTAATTGTCCCCCCCCCAACTTTTTTCTACAATTTTTCAAATATCAATCCCAGACCACTTCCAAACATTGTTGGGTAGTAAGTACTTCATTTTGACAAGGTGGCCATTTCCAGCCACCATCTTGGATTCACCATATTGGATGCAAAATATTTTTTCAAATGTAAAGGTAGGGTTGTGACCCATTATTTCAAACTAGATTTTTACCCTGATTACAATGCCACCAACAGTTTTTAAAAATCTTGACCCATTCCAAAGTTATGAGGGCTTTTAATAACTTTATTCTTGCCCATTTTAACATTGTGCATTTACAAAAGACCATAATCTCAAAATGGTGCTAGATAAAGATAAGTATACACTACCAGTCATTGTCGACCTATTTCCACTTGGTTATGACGGATGAATTTTTTTGTCCGCCATCTTGGATCCATCATTTTGAAATGTGATAAATTATTTTAAATATAAAGGGGGTGTTGTGACCCACCATTTCGAATTACTCTTTTAACTTAACTCAATGCCGCAATCCATTTTTTGTTATCAAGTTTTCTTGATGAAATATTGCATTTTTTAGTTAAAAACGTCAATATTTCAAAATTTAAATATGAAAATGAAAAACGGATCGTGGAATTGAGTTCAGCCCTCATAACTTTGGAATGGATCAAGATAAAAAAAAAACGGTTTGTGGCATTGCAATCAGGGTAAAAACCTAGTTTGAAATAATGGGTCACAACACAACCCCACCATTTGAAAAAAATATTTTGCATCCAATATGGCGAATCCAAGATGGCGGCAGGAAATGGCCACCTTGTCAAAATAAAGTACTTACAACCCAACAATGTTTAGAAGTGGTCTGGGATTTATATTTGAAAAAAACTTAGAAAAAAGTTAGGGGGGGGGACAATTAAAACACACCCTGTATAATGGAACATAACACAAGTGAAGTATGCAATCTCCACATAACATAACCGCATGACATCCAGGTCCAATGGTGGTAAAATTGACTCAACAATTTCTTGACCATGAGGTTAGGTACACTTGGGTATCTAACTTGTGTATTTTTTCAGCCTTCGTACAGTACAGAAGAACTGAATCAAGAAATGGCCAACCTCGAAGGTCTAATGAAGGACCTCAACGCCATCACTGCCTCAGAGTTTGAGTGCTAGTCGAGCGCTCGTGAAGCTTTAGTCGTAACCCCGTGATCTGAACATTGCATTACTGCCTTATCTTGTAAACAGACTATCGACACATTTCACACAGCATGCCATTTGGCCTCAAAAACTCTCTCTTATTTTTAGGAAGGTGATATTTTTTATAACCGTGTTTTATACTTTCATATGTTTACACTCTGGCTGGCTACTTCAATACAGTTCCTATTATCACAAAGGGACGTTGATGGATGTGATAACTTTGGGATTTCCGATTTGTTCATTAGAACAGAACCTTGAAAAGCTTTGTGAATTACTCGTTTTATCAGGTTCGTAAGACAGTGTTGTTTCAATTCATTACACAGACATCCTCCAAATATTTTTGGAGTTTAAGCTTGGATCCAAGTAAATTTAACAGGTATTATGAAGTTGAAAATCTCCAGTATTATAGGTTTACTTTTCTGTTAAAAAATCTCGCAAAACGACTTTTGCCATTTGGGAGTTTTTAATTAATAGTTTATCCGAAAGTTACTTTACTGGCACTAAGGTATATCTATGATCTCGTCTATTACCTTGATTTTGTGCTCTTATACTATATACAAAATATTGGCTGCTTTTTTACCTTACAGTATTAATGAGTGTAAAAAGTTGCTATTTATGTTAATTATGATTGCTTATTTTAAAATCAAAATGCCTTATCCAAACAGTAACTACATAATAGGTGATTTCTGTAAGGATTTTTCCTACAGTGATTTGTATAGGGACTTTTCCTATATGTGTTGAAATATTACTGCAATAATTCTATAAACAATACTCAATGATGCCACCAATCTATTAAATTGTATTAGGGATTAAAAACTAAAAAAAGGACTAAAAACTAAAAACTAACTAAAAGGAGTTATGTACTTTTTTACCACTCTTTTTCCCAGAGGTTCCCAAATTTGTTTTAGTAGGTAGGCCTACTGTTCTTTGCACTTAAAGATTTTTAAATTATTATTTTAAGATGTTTTATGTTGTGTACCACTTTATTTTTTCCTTTTATCATTGGCGTTTAAAGTGTTTAAACATAAGTATCAGTTGTGAGATGTTCCAATGAGAAATATTTTTGGATTTCCAAATGTTGTTTAGTAGTTTTTAGTTTTACAATTCATCATCATAAGTTTGGAAACCTCTGTCATATGGACAAAATAACCTAATTTAATTTGTATTGAAACATTGAAAGATTATTTTGCAGCCAATTTTTGTGTTCTTACTATTATAAACATTCCTCATAAAACTTCGGTTCCTCTAGTTTCTACTTAATTTACACAACTATAGATTATTAAATTATTTGAACTAAATCTATTTATCTTTTGACTTTTATAAATATTTTGAGACTCATCAGGTTAACAGGTTATATTTTAGTGTTTATGGTGTTAAAGCGTCACATCAATGGTTTTAGGAATATAAGTTATTCGTTTCTGTATTTTTATCCATTGTAACAACTTTTTTCTACTCTTGACTTTTTTAATTACATTGTATGTCTTACCCTCAACATAATGTACAGTTGTACTGTACACTACTAATATTATGTTGTTTAATTTTGAACTCATGTACATTTATTTTACTTTAACTGAGGAAAACGCTTATGGTTTGTATCCTAACACTTATTTTTATTAAAATTATACAACTTAAAACCTAAGCTAAAATGTAGGAACAAAGAAAATTTCATTCATTTCATCACCGGGAATAAACTTAGGGATCACATTATTATAAATACAAAAAATTTTGACATCACAACTCACAATACGTAACTGAAGCTCGGAAGAAATTCACATCACATTTTGTGAAAGCTACTCTAGGTTTAGATTATCAATCAGCAAGACTTTGCGCTCTATTCTTAATTTTGCATAAACGATTTACAAGGATTTTCGGTAACGCCTCGCTTGGCTCTTTAAGTTAAATAAGTTTCCTATTTTCCGCCATGTATTATATTGTAGTATTAAATATAGATTATATATTGTTTGTATTTTTCTATTTATTTCTTAATCAAAATGTTAATGGAATTTGTGAATGTATTCTGTGTCATATGGAAAATCATATTTCCTGTCAGAAGTACAAATTTAACAGCTTTTTTCGATTTGTACTTTTGATTATTTTGTAAGTGCCATCAAATAAAGTTAGGTTTATCAATGTAATTAGCTTTATGTTTTTACAATTATAACCTATTAGAAGTGTGTGAATAGATAAAAGAGTTAAAGGTATTTTTTGTATTATCAATAATATTACAAGTATTATTTAATATAAGTTGTTCAAAGTGGATGAGTCTAAATTACTCCAAGTGATGCAATGGACAATAAGAGGGTTGGAGTTGCCACATGTTATCAAAGCACTGTAAATCCCTTGTGTCACTTTCTAAAACTTTGAATCTTAATACTTGCGTGTAACATAAAACAACTTACTCTCATTCGTTAAATGAAGGGCAAATCCCAAAACTCTTTCTTTATCCGATCAAATTCAAGGTATCAAAATCTAGTTGAACACTTTAGTTTCTGAATAAAACCTCAAAATCTCCGAGAGCAATTTGGTTATGAATAAGTGTTGTATATTTATCTGTTGAAACAAAATGTAGCCTAACATTTTACCATTTCTGTTTTGCAAATAGTATATTTTCCGTAGTGTGTGAAAGCACAACATTGTAAATAGTGTAAGTAATAATTTGATATCGGAAACCGCTTACTGCGGAAAGGTAGTCAAAGGATATTAGTAATTTTAAATTTGATTGTAATTGTTTTTATTTCTAAATTGCTGTTTATATGTTGGTGCCTTTTATAAATTAACTCCAAGGCTTATATTAACTACACAGTATTAAAATTGCGATTTCTTATTTGCACAATTGTATTGCGTTCATTTTTAAGGATGCTTAGTGTTGTCTTAGTGTTTGAAATATCCTTTTGAAATCGAATAATTTTTCCACCTGATGCTCAATATTCCTTTAGTCGAAAATTATATGTGTGAACGTAGTAAGGTGTAAACTTGATAATAATGTATTGTGTGTATCATTTAAACATAGGTTAAGAAATACGACTGAAACCGTTGCCTATTTTGATTCAAATCATTAGCTTGTTAGTCATATCGCTGGATTTCAACAGTTTACTAGACAAATATAAATAAAAAACCTTCAACTAACAGCTTTTAAAAAAAATTCTGAGTAAAAAGGTGTATTTTTAGTCAAATTGTTAGTGCGAATAAATGTCCTCACATTACCTTTTCCTTTATTTGAAGCCTTAAAAAACACTTCAAAAGACAATTTCACAAAACGGGTTTTGGAATTAGTGTTATTTCATCTCTTCATTCCTTCAGCATATTTTCAATATGGTTTGAATCGAAATTATCGACTAGATTACAATATATTGTACTAGCTGCTTTCGTCTTGTATTTATTACTATATGTACAAATTGTATAGTTTTAATATTTATATTGTGTAATCAAATAGTTTTAATTTTGTGCCTAATATTTGATGTTGTAATTATTTTCAGTTTAGTACGAATGGATTTACTCGGTATAGGCCTATAGCAATGTTTGATTCTGTTTTGTTTTTATGATTTGCCAGTGTTTCTCAACCAAAGATTTATAACCAACACAAAAGAAGACTAACAGTTAAGAACACTTGTTTTTTATTTAGAGTTGTTTAAACTATGCCATTTTACTCCCAAACTCCAATTTATTTGTGACAGTGACTTTAAAAAGAAAATTCAAAGCCTTGTGAAAGTAAAATAAACCATAAGCACTATATTGGTAGTAAGACTAGACATAAAGAATCAAGAATCATGAAAATTCATTGTTAAATTCAAAAACTGCATATTGTGCAGATATCATATGATAATAACGAACGATCTAACAAAAAATAACAACTAAAGAAATCAAAAAAATCTTCTCCGTAATTAACTCTGAAAATTTAACTTTACTTTGGACTATTGCCTTCAAAACTACATAAATAGTGAAGCATGTTCAAATAAAAAAATACCCCCGCCGCAGCAAACCTGCCGTCTTAGCGAATTTCCATTTGGCTGAATTGATTTTCAATTGATCCATTTAAATAACATTAGGTTTAACGAGTACCTAGGTTTGCTGCTACAAGGAAACTAATAAAGTGTGTGTTTTAAGTAAAATAATTATTGCTTAGTATAAAATGAATATATTTGCCAAGTTTGATCAAAAGATATCCATAAACAAGCAAACTACAACATTTTACAATATTCTCCATAAGAATAACATGGGAATTTTAAATTGACCATTTTTTTAGTTTTCTCCGTAACCAATAACCGTACAAAAACACTATGATATACTGAATTGTTTGTTTTTTTAAGCTCTTTAAGAAGGTTTAGAGGAAAATTGGGAAATTTTGTGTTTTGAGGGTCAAAAGTGAGAAAAACCAATTTTTACCCCATAAAACCCTGTTCCCATGGTCCGATCACGCTGGATCGCGAACTCATTCAAGTTTATCCCGCCTTACACCTTTAAACCAAATTTCATCAAAATCGGATAAAAATTACTCAAGTTATCGTGTTCACGGACACATATATATATATATATAAAAATTTGAACGAATGGTGTTTTTGGCCTCTGGGGAAATTAAAATGAAAAAGTAAATCGGTCCCGGGCCTAAGTGTTACCATGAGACCTACGGTAATAGCTACTTTCCTATAGGGAAATTCGCTAAAACATGCATTTCAGGTCCCATTTTTCACTACTTTTTTTAATGAAGAGTCCTCACAAAACAATTGAAACTACAAAGAACATTTCTTATCTCACAGTTTACTAGACATTTTTATTCAAATCACTTTGGTGATTGAAAAAATATTTTCAGATGGTAAATAACTCTTTAGAGGCTATTTGAAATTAACAAAATTAATATTGCTCTTATGGTGGGCAATTCCAAGAAGGCAAAATTTACTTTTAGTCTTTTAGTAAAAGTATTGAGTCATAATTTATTAGACTTTATTTAAATTATTTTAATCAAAATTATTTAAATTTTGACTTAAACTTGACTAAATCTTGACACCAGACTTTGGTGAGTCGGTAGCGTCACGGACTTGGGGCCTGAGGCAGCGATGTCGTAGGTTCGATCCTGGTCACTGCCACAAACATTTTATCAGTACAGTTCACCTTTGTACTGTACCGGCTCACCCCTTGCTTTGGTAGATACGTTCCAAGCATAGATCTGTAGTCTATGTGGACGGGCAAATGCAAAGTTAAAAGAGGCCGCCAACCTCTTAAAAAAAATTTAAATTTAAAAATTAATGAATGATGTTCAAAAGCAAAAATTTTGCAGTTGTTTTCTACAAAAGTATATCAATCCTCAGAGAAATACTTGTGAAAATTTTAACTATCTCCCTACAGTCTTTTATTTTATGTTTTTATTTTATCTCATATTTTGAGAACAAAAATTTTTTAGTTCATAGTTTTAGTGCCTGGTACTTTATAGAACTATACAGAAATTATATTTTAATACTAAATTTTGTTCAGGCTTGAAATTATTAATGACTTTTTTCTTTCAAATTCCAACAGCTGTTACTACAGTTAATAATCAAAAAGGCATAGTTTCTTAATTCACATTGGGAAGTGGTTGTTTATTGTGCATTTATTCACATTCCCCTAAAGTTATCAATAAATAATTAGTCACATGTTGCAGCATTTATGATGAAGTTTAGAACAATCCTATGCATGCAGTTTACAGTGTCTATTGTCTTTAATCCAGTAACTTTACTTAGCTAAACAAACCTTAAAAATTTTAACTAATTTTATTTTTCACCCAATTCTCTCAAGACAGGTTGAGAAGCACTGTTGCATGACTGTAGTATTATCAAACAAACTCATTATAATGAAATGTATTTTTGTGTTGGTTTCTATAATAGGTAAATTATATTTGTTATCCAATAGATGTTGATTTTTCTATGTAAATCAATAGTACTACTTTTCTTTACCGATCTTGTGTCACAGTTCTTTCTTTTATCCATATAAAATAAACTTTTTATAAACTGCTTGAATGTTGTATGTTTCACCTTTATGTGTTGTAGATTTGTAAGATATACAGGGTGTCCTGGAACTCTTTTGGGACGTCTTCCTAGCTTAAAGACAAACATTTCACTGCATAAACTGGGGTGAAAAAGTGTAGTTATTTGTCTACCTGTCTGTAATTTTGACTACGCTGTATTTTGTATTTAATAAAAATCAATCCTCGGCATTTTAACATTTTTTTAAGAGAACAGGCCAACCCTGGTTTTGCTACAGACATCAACCTTATGTTAGATAGCATCATTTATTACGATTTCAATGGCATCTTGGTCCAATAACAATCTCGTTTGGAATCAAACCAGCGACAGATTTGAAGGCTATAAGCATCCAGCTACCCAGACACCATTAACGAAACTCAATTGGTCAAACATCACACAATATTTTTCCAAAGTTCTTTATTTCCACAGCAAAGCGTTATAGTCCGTGTCTTGAATGGAGCTCCCGCCATGTTTTCTTGGGGTCATGTGGTTCGATGATGAAGCCGCCAGTCTTCCATCATTCATGTATGGAAATCCATCGAGCCTCTTGGATCGGAGCCCTATCTGAAACATTTTTTTTATTTTAAAAGTACAATAATGTCATTTAAGGGATCATGTGCTTGATATTTAAATTTTAATAGAAAAACAGTATAACCTAATGGGTCTGCATGAATTTTTACTACCTTACCGAGAGGAAGAATTAATCTGTGTAGCTTTTGTACTAAATATATATCGTTCAACATCAACATAAAAGTACAATAATGATAAACTCCTTCTCAGTGCACACTTGCTATCAAGATTTGAGGTTTACTCCTACCACATAGAGTTTTGCTATAGGAATTCTGCTGTATAGTTCAAATTTTAAAATTAAAACGATACCCTTGGTAAGAATAGATCAGTCTGAAGGTTTCGCCTTTATCATAATTTGTTGTTTTGTTCAGATTTAAATATCCTCGAGTTTGTTTCACACCCTTGCAATAAGGAATAACGTGTGAGATGCTAAGATATTAATACTTACTGAAACATTTTTTATTGTGGTTCCCAAAATGATTACTTTTTATGAGACTACATCTTGGCTCTTTTCCAAACAGTTTTTTTGGCCTCCAATAAATGTCAAATTTGTTTGCCCACATTGGTATTTGTATTGGTAAATATTAAAATTATTTATAAAAACTGTTGATTTTTTACAGTTAGCCTACAAAAATATACAAAAAAGCTTTGTTTTTTGTTATAAGGATCGCAAAATCGATCGATTGCCAACAGGGGACGTCTATAACATGTCTTTGCCTTGTGATACATTTCCCTGGCAGAATATCTACCGTTTAGATCGAAGACTACCAGTGCTGCGTTTGCTACATATTCCAATCATCTGAGAATCACCTTAGTTCGTACTAGGTTGGCTCGTTCATTGGATAGTCTTGCAGATAATTCCAAGATTCTTTGGTCTACGTCTTCAACATCTTTGTGTATTGTATCATCCATCATCTGAAAGCATTGAAAGGGGAAGTAGTAAATAATTCATTTAAAATAAAGATAACAATGCCAACCATTTCCATTGTTACACTTACAAACTATTTATAAAATGTTTTCTAAATAGTTGTCTTAACTCTTACTCAAGCTAGTAGCTTCGTTTATAGTTTCGTGATGAAAATCTATGATCGGCTTGTCAAATCTATGATCGGCTTGTCAAATCTATTTATTCAAATCTAATCACTAAGATTCTCTCAATGATTTTAGATTAACGTCAAATTATTTGTACACTGACTATACCACTTCTATTATTTACCTGTCTAATCCAGTTAGACAGCAATGAAGATCGCTTTTGAAAGCTTGAATAAACATCCAACGCATGGCTAAATCTCTCAGGAATCTGCAAGTCTGTATAGATGTAGACAATCATCTGTAAAAGGAGAGACATTTTTTATTCCTCTAGGATTCTTGCCTGGAATTCTTTCCCACATTACTTCAGGCTAGGACAGAGGGGGTCTAAGCATCACTTTGATCAAATCCATTGGTGATCGGTGGGATTCAAACCTGGGACCTCAGGGACTGAAGTCCTCGCTTCTAAAAAGGGGAGAATGGAAAGCATTTGAATGAGTACAATAAACAAGTCTTTATTTACTGTTTTGGTTCTGTGGTAAACCAACTATTGCCACAACTATTTCTATGGGATGTTGTTAGAAAAACAACACCTAAAAAGGTTTTTTTATACTATTGTGAAATTCATCAAACAATTGAGAACCAGAGCATGAAAAACTGTTATGCCCTGTAACATTTTGTAAATACAGTAGATATTGTTTTATGTGCATAATTAGCACACATACCATAACACCCTTTGAAATATTTATAATTGCTTGTATTATAATTATACTGGGTAGTTTGTAAAGAGTGGGTAAAACATACTTTTCTTTTTTACTTTGATGCTTTTGTTCTTTTTCCTACAACCCTAAAAAGAAGATAACCTTTTAAACAGAAAAGTGTAAGGAGGGGAGACATTGTTTATCCATTCTCACACTCAACAAAGTAAGGATCTATTGTTTTTCCTACAGTTACCTAACAATGTACATGTTCTCTCACTGATTTGAGAAAGCAAAGTGGCCAATTCGCTCATCAGTGAGACAATGTTAACATTGTCTCACTCTAATTACTTTGTCTCACTCCAGATTTGCAACGTGAAGGCACAAAATAGTGAGCGCGTAACATGCAGACAAGGTCGTATGCGCGCGAAATACGTTGGCAGCACTGGTTGTAAATCAGCTTGTCAGCTGTTGTACTGTTGTATTGTTACTTCACGTTAAATGTCATATTAAAAGTTCACTTCTGTGTAAAAATATGTTACATTTCTTTACCAATTTATTTGTTTTATGGTAACTGTAGGAAAAATATAATGTGCAACTCGAGTGCAAAGTGCAATTGCCTCACTCGAGAAACCATTCCTCACTCGCCTACGGCTGGTGAGTAAGTATTTCTCTCGAGTGAGTCAATTGCTCCCTTTGCTCACTAGTTGCACAAATAAGTATTATCAGCTGGTTCTAAATCCTAATGCATACATAATGCAATATGATATTCTTTGTTTTCATAGAAATTGGTTTTTTGGTGATCTTTTCCTTAAAGACACAGGCCTGGCTGGCTTTTGAGTAAAAATGTGTTCATGCATTGACTATTTTGTCTCTGGAGTTTCATATTTTGTTTGTTATTAAAAAGAAAAAAAAACAGATTAACTGTGAAATGATGATATTTTAATAAGGTAATAATTATAGTAACTGTTGTCTAAAAATAATGACTCATATTTACAGCTTTAGCACAATTTTAATAATAAATTTTGACATCATATGATGTGGGATTGCCCCTGAACTGGTTATAGTAACTAATATAATGGTTTAAATACCTTCAGTCACCAGTTCAAATTAAGTCGACTGTTGCGACCTAGGTTTCGGCACGGAGTTGTACCATCATCAGGTTCAGTCCAATGGACGTAATTTGATTAAAACTAACAATGATATCCATTGGACTGAAGATTTCAAACTGGTCCTGATGATGGTACAACTCCGTGCCGAAACCTAGGTCGCAACAGTCGACTTAATTTGAACTGGTGACTGAAGGTATTTAAACCATTATAAAAGTTTTTATACTTAACACTCTGAATCAGATGTATTTTTTTTGTGAAATAACTTAGATAAATGATTAAATTGTCGCTAAATAATTTATTTTTTAAATTTTAACCTGTAAAAGAGCTGCAATCTCTCTCATAGTGCAGTAGGGAAATAATACTCCCGGCAGAGTGGTCTGTGCCGTCTGTATACATAACACTGCCTCCTGAATGGCGTTTCTACAATCTGTGGCAACTCGAAACCTCGTCACTACATTACTGGAACCACAAAGGTAAAATAAACAAACTTGTGTTAAACATTTCAGAAAATTTCTTAAGTAAGTCACTATGTTAATTGAATTCATTAGAGTTAAGGCATTAGCAGTGGTGTAGTGGGACAGGAACGACATTCTTACTCTGCTTTCCCCAAAGAACCTATAAATTGATAGGCGACCCTTATTTTTCCACAACAAAAGTGAACGTTGCCGCACAAGAAAATTTACGACTACACCACCTGGCATTAGGGTTAAGAATAACTGACTGCAAATTATTATGTTTTAAATTCTTCTAAAATATTGTAATAAGAAATTTCTGATTTCTGACAGTATTCTCTGTCAACTCACAGTTTGTGCTGTGCAAAGTCCACTTTTGTGTAATTTTTTTATTGTATTACATAATTTTCTTCACAAAAATTATGGTAGGTTTTGTTCAGTTTCCGATCGATTTGTTGTCTGAAGCCCGTTTCACAGTGGTCACTAAGGAACAGAGGCATTGGGTGGCTCCTCACATTTACAGGGATATACATTGGTAAGTAAATGTAAAGTTTATTGGTAATAAAACTCTCTGGCTTCTATATAGTTTTCACCCACCTCTAATGGTTGATCTTTGCCACTGCAATTCCTGATTTAAATTGAATTTTTCAAATTAAAGTTTAATTGATACATTTAACCATAGGGAATTTCTTAAAATGCAATAAAAGGCATAGTAAATCGTGATTGATAATGCAGACTATATTATGTTTTGTGGTTCAAGTCTAGTGTATTACGTAGTATTGTCCAACGAGAGCCAGCTGTCTCGGCCAGCCATGGCTAGAGTAGCCGCCACCTGAGTGAGTCTGGCCGCTTCTCTCCATGACAGTTCGCCACTATACAGGGTGTCCCGATAACTCCGCACCCTGTCTAACTGCAACTCTAGATCTGACAGCACTCCTCCTCCCAGGTTACCTATAGAGTACGATAAAATTAGCCTTACTATACCTACTTTCAGATAAACTATACACTTCAACTAAACCATACTCATGTTCAGTTAAACTATACCCACTTTCAGCTAAATATTAATAACTTTACATGTGTTCACCTAAACTATGCCTTTGTTCACTATCATCTTGTTCATTTTAAATAAACCCTTGTTCAGCTAGGCACAAAAAATCATCAGTGGTATTTTATCCTCGTTTAGTTATATGTTATATGCTGGGATTATTTTAATTACATTTTTTCGTCTAGTACTTAGTTTTTTGTGATTTTTCAGAACTGGCTGCATCATCACTATTAGTTTGTGAGTTTTGTGTGTGTATATTAAAAATTAGAACAATGAACTATGTAACATTGAAGGTCAAAATGTTGAGTACTCAAAATTATGTAAACTAAAGAAAAATGGTGTCATGACAAACTTGACTAACCAAATAAGGAGTCTAGTTGCTCGTAGAGTCCTTGGAGGTATTGCACCTTCTCGCTCAATCGATTTATTTCCTCTTCAGTGTCCTGCTTGCGTTTCTTCAACCAATTCAATCGAGAAAGCCTTAAAGCCTTTGGAACAGAATTTCCAGAATAAATAAGATTCATAAGTTCTTTACTTGTACATAATTGTGTAGCGGCTTATTTACATATTCCCTGTTGATCAGATTGCATTATCCAATTCACAATCGATTGCTGTACAAGAAAATGTCCATTGACCGTGAATCTCAAACTAAAAGCAGGCTGCACAGTAATAGGGGTGGGGGGGGGGGGGGTATATGGGTTTGAACCCCCCTCCCGACCTTAAAAAGTGATTTTTTTACGATTCAAATGTTTTTCTACTATTGAAAAATCTCTCTTATATGTCTCTAAATTGACTAAAAACGCGAGTTTATAGGTCTAATCTAAGTTTTCCCGGACTTACTTTTTTCCTTGGGGTTTGTAAACCCACCCCCCCTTATGGTCATCCCAGTTACACAAACCTACAACAAACCTTCTGCTGTTACTTATCTATGAACCACAGGCACTTTCAATTTCCTTCAAACATTAGTACTACAATAATTATGTAATTTGATCACGTTCTACCTTGTATATATCACAATTAATTATACTGTAAGGTAAATAATAATGATAACAAAAAGAGGAAATAAGCACGTCTGGTTTACCTGCCTGGTCAGGTTAGCAATAAACTCCTCATGTTCCGTGGCATGTTTAGGATTTTGATTGATTTGAAGTTCCACAACTGCTTTTTGGATCGCTTCTTCTGATGAGTCAGAATTCCTGAAATATCAACATTACTTTTACTTTCTCTCCCTATACATTTTTGGGTGAAAATATCCGTTATGGGTCCCCTGAACCCAAAAAAGTGGTTCTTCTAAAAGATCTCTGTGTGTGTGTACAGAGACTACACCTGGGGTACGATTTTGGTACGAATGTCATATGTTATGGTCCTTTTATAAATGCTCAACAAAATTGTACAACCCTCAATGCTGTAAACATTACGGTTGAAAAGTCAATGCGACTTTTATAACTTTCCCCATTAAATATCAGTTAATCTCACCGCTTAAGGTTGTTGGCTAATGGGAGAAAGTATGTGTCAGTTTGCTGATACAGTTTATTTTTAATCATCTGGAATTTAGGAAGATCAGAAAGTTATTTGATAAATGCTTTGGTGTATATTTATTATTAAACCCTAAATAAGCAGTTAAGACAAATAGCATCTTATAATAGGCTACTAGGGAACATTTACCCACGTTTCCCACTTTACCTTGCTGGTAATGGCATAAAAGTTTCTACTGCTCCAGGAATGTCGATGTTTGGAATCGTAGATGCAACTTCTATTTCAGTATTCAGTCTCTCCAGTCTTGCAATGTAATGGCCTGAAAAAAGTTGAAGTTTTGTTTTAACAAAATGTCTTGAATAGTCGAGGTATAATCTCTTTTGTGCTTTGTGTCAAGTAGGTACATCTTTGAACGTGTATATATCGCTCTTGAAACATATTTTAATGTACTTGCAATAAATTTTGCCTTAAAGTGTTTAGTGTTTTCTAAGACTTGAACTGGTCATCCTTTACCCAGTGAGGGCGCAGGAGCTGACCTCTCCTCCCTCCAGATGTCCCTGTCGAGCCTCAGGAAGGTATCCAACGTGTCCAAACTGTGCCCCGATACTCTCTGGCTCTGTCAACAAACATAACTTTGTCTGTCATTTTCAAACAAACCATTCAAGAATTTAAATGATTATTTCAGTTAATTTTTAAACATTTTTATCCACTGTATTGGAATTTTTTTATGAAGCAGCGGTCCAAAACCTTTGTCTTATGACCTTTGTCTATAATGTTGATCGTGTTACATGGCATCATTCATAGCTTAATTACAATCGGCATTTAGTTCTAGAAGCGAACCAGTAACATTTATGTTTGCCGAGCAATATATAAATAAATAAATTATATTATTGCAAGCGATCATCAGTTCACAACCTCTTTTAAGGATTATTTTTGTCTATGGTTATAACAAATGTTACCTACTAAAAATAATGAGCAAAATTCATTTTTAATTGAAAATAATTCAAGAAAGCTCTTTGAAGCTTTTTGGTAGTTTGTTGTTCATCGCTGGATTTAAATATAATCAAGGCATTACTTTCAACTTCACAGTGGACCCTTTAGAAATAAATTTCAAATAAAGAAATGATTGTAGTCCATTTTATACAATTAAGTGATTGTACATGAGTATAAGAGTCGGTTCGGTATCGCAACAGACTATGGATCCGTGGCAGAGATTTTTTTGGATTCTACTGTCTGCCACTACATTTTAACAGTACAGTTCATTTAGTACTATACCGGCTCACCCCTTGCTGGCTACATTCCATGCACAGACCTGGCTAAGGTCAAAAGAAGCCACAGCCACCCTTAAAATTACCTATAACCTTTACCTAAATTTAAGTTTAAATATTTTTGTCATTCCAGTTTCTTTACCTTGTTGTTGCTAGAGCCGCCACAGCCCATAGCTTTCATTGGAGTCATCTCTGTTGTCATAGCTAACACTTCATCTCTCTCCTAGACAATATCAAACATGTCAAGACAGGTTTGGTGGATTTGACTTAACCTCTGCAAAACATGACCTAACCTAATTTTAAATCAAGCTAATTTCAAAATCAATTTCTGAGCGTTAGACTTATTTTATCCTAATCTTTACTACAACGTAATAATTTATAATTATAATATAATTAATAAATACCAATCAGCTGTTTTCTATACATCAGCTGTTCAATAATTGTCAGCTGTTTTGAGAAAGATTCTTTCTGCGAAGTGTGAACTGCTACTGTTAAATGTTTACCTAGTTGTTAAGAACTAGTCCAACAAAAATACCCCCACAGAAGCAAACCTGCAGACTAAGCGAATTTAAACTTGTCTGATTACATTTTTACTAAAATATTTCCATAAATAAAGATATTTATTCCCAATTTAAATAACATTAGAATTAACGAGTGCTTAGGTTTGCTGCTACGGGGAAGGTAAAAAGTGTTTTTGACGATACGTCAATACTATAGGATTAAATAAATAAATTTGCCAAATTGTATCAATATATATCCATAAACAAGTAAACTACAACAGTTTTCATTTTCTCCATAAGAATAACATGGAAATTTTAAATTACACTATTTTTGAATTTTCTCCATGACCGTTAGGCATACAACAACGCTTCAATATACTAAGTTATTTCTTTTTTTAAGCTCTACAAAACAATTTAAAAAGAAATTCCAAAATATTTTGTTTTTAGGGTAAAAAATGGGTTAACCCCATTTTTACCCCATAAAGCCCCCCATAAACCCCTGTTCCCATGGTCCGATTATGCTGGTTCGCGAACTCGTTTGAATAAATGTAGGTTTACACGTTTGAACCAAATTTCATCAAAATCGGATCATTTTTGCTCGAGTTATCGCGATAACGGACACACACACACACACATATACATATATATGAATCTGAACGGATGGTGTTTTTGGCCTCTAGGGACCTCAAAACGAAAAATTAAATCGGTCCCGGCTCTAGGTCTTACCATGAGTACTACGGTAATAGCCTATTCCCTATGGGAAATTCGCTAAGAGTATTGAGTAAGGTTGTTTCATAAAAAGTGTATTTCTTTTTGAGAACAGAAATGAGTTTCGCTCTCTAGTTAACTTTTAATGCAGGATAATTGGTTTTTGTTGTCAATGTCATTAATATGATAACCACGAGGTTGTGCATGATATGGGCGTGGTCACGTGACGAACTTGCGTGTAATAACGTGACCGTGAAATCAGCCTCGATATCAGGATTGGGCAATCGTTTAAAATCTCAATATCGTGATACTGGAACCCCCTGTACATGCTACATTGAGTTGTCCATTCACGGTTACTTGTGAGATAGGGAAATTTAACACAAGGTGGGTAAAAAATAACTGTTGTTTATAAATGAATTATATTTTTGGTTTATCTATTCTGCAGTCAAAACGATCATGTGTAGTTTACTGTGAACAGCTGTTTCGTACTCATGACGTAATCAGGTCCAAAAACCTAACTGTATAATAACTTTGATAACGGCGTATTGTGAAGTTTTGCGGTAGTAAGTTATTTTAGAAGTAGCCCTTATGAATCAACCAAAATGACAGAATACTTCTAAACTAGCAACAAATGAACTGAAATCCGTACTAAAATCAAGCTAATTTATTATTATCTGCAAAGTCTTGATGAAAATATGTTTTTTATTTCACGACCTGAATATGAGTAAGCTAAGTAATTGTCTACAAATTTTAACTATGTTACCCTAAAACCTTAATTTAAAATACACTGACTAAATAACAACACCCAAAATTCTTTTTAGTTTTATAATTTAAAAAAATCTTTTATTATAAAGTATATGCCTACAGCAGTATTGAAATAATAAATGAATGCTAAACACAAATAGCTAGTTTGTATAATAATTTAATAATATTTTGACTGAGTACGAAAAGGAGTAAAACTGAAATCAACCATGGGATGAAATATTTGTCGCACACTCATGACACAACGCATAATCCTGATAAAATTACCAGCAAAAAGTAGTAATACTTAATCTGCATGTTCTGTTATTTATGAATCGACTCCGAATAAGGAACGTCGAACGTCAATATACTTAGAATATTTATCTGCTCAAATATTTACCTCTCGTGAAATATTTTTGACATTAAATAAATAGATTATTATAAATAATTCAAAGCCATTTTCAAACTAAACTTATTTTGGTTTTCTTTGATATTTTTTCGCGTATATCTGACCCATAACATTTACATTCGTGTAATATATCTCGTATTTTATTTGAACCATAGACAAGGGATTGCAACATTAATTGACACGAAATTTGAAAACACTTGGTTTAACGTGAAACCTGTACCTACGTAAAATGGACACTCTATCAATAATTTCGTTAAATAAATAAATTTATTTCAAAGTGTCAAAACGCTTTTCCACTTATCAAAAGGACATTTGGTTCGATTATTACCATTTTCAGTTTGAATAGCTCAGTACTGCATTGCATGTCAGTCATTCTCAATAATTGGTAGAACGATATCACAACAGTGAACGATTCGTTTGAATTATTTTATTATGCATAGAATATAAATGACCAATTACTCTGTGTTTTATCTAAAACTTTTGCACAAATTATATTCAAATTCTGCGGCAAAATTATTGAACGAGATTTGTTTTTTCTATGAATGAGCTGGGGAGAAGTATAGTCAGCGATTTCAGAAGACAAATTTTCAAATGATTATTGTATAGGAATTTTCAACAAAAATAAAGTAAACTAGTACAGTAGTGCATCAGATGTACTAGATTCTAGTGCATAGTCAATTAATATAGGCCTACATACTTTTTTTGCATTGAAAATATTTTTGAAAAGAATTGTTGGATGCTTTTAGGAATAGAGTTCTCGAACACAAATGAAGTTAACTCGTATTCATTATTATTTCATCCTCCAGATAGGTAGATTCCGAACCACTGGGTTATGGCTGAAAGCTATTTATGATTTGGATTTGAACCCAAGACCGCAGGACAGAAGGTCCGCGTTTCAGCAACTGAAGTAGCCACGCCATACTTTATGTTTTTTTTTATATAGCGATCAGTACTTAAATAATGTGAAAACAATTGGTTTCCTATGGACAAAATAATTACCCGCATTAATGTATTTAGGTAGATTACTTTTTATTTTATTCGTAGAATATGTAACGGTTACCGTAAAAGTGAATAGTTAAATGAAATAGTGTTTTTTAATATGTTACCACTTTTTATCGATGTTCAATTCCCAATTTTTACTTTAGCTTTGCAATTCTAGATTACCATCAGTAACGCCAAGCGATAATTATAACCCGTGTAAATATATAAAACACTAAAAGTGTCATTTTTAGCTAAGATATTTAATTCTGACAGATGTGAAAATATCTTTTACCTACGACCGTTTTTTAAAGTAGCCGTTTCAGTTTAGTTCTTAGAATTGAAGTATCTCATAACAGCATTGTTTACTTTCATAACAGCATAGTTTTACTCATAACAACACCAACTGACCAATGAGGTTCAAGGATTGAGAGAGACGAAGTAAAATTGTAATGATTCGAAATTCAACTTATCAGCTGTTCAGGCCAATTTAATTGTTGATTGGTGCAATTAGTATTTGATACAATATTTCGTTGCATCACTGTCAGTGGCAATTAGAAAAACATACCCTCTCTTAGAAGTTATGAGTAGTGATTTTTAGAAATTAAAACACCGTCGTAGGTAAAGTAGTGTACGCAACTCGCGTAAATAGTGTTAACGACACTCGTAGAAGTTTTTAAGGCACTCGCCAAGGCTCGTACCTTAAATTTTCTAATCGTGTCGTTAACACTATCTTTACGCAATCGTTGCGTAAACTACAATTTAATTTAAATTGCCACATTGAATTAATTGCATTACACGTAACTTACTAAATACGTAAATTTTATTTCGCAAATGATTCCCTTTCAGCCAAATTGAGCTGGATATTATTTAACGACTATTATTAAATATATATTTTAGTTACTTTGCTTTTACTACTGACATTAAATATCCTTTATTCAAATTTTACCTTAAGTATCGGAATGGTAAAAAATTAAATAAATAAATAAATTTTAAAATTTTGGTAATAAAAATAAAATATTTTACGCTACGATTCAACTTGACTTTGACGCAATAAAGAATAATCCGTTGTTCAAAAGTTGAGGTAAGAATTCACCTGTAATATCGGAGCTGCGTTGTCCAGTGTTGTAATGGTCTAGTGTTGTGGTGGTTGCCTAGGCCATAACTCCAGGGATGGTTATGGAAGGTCCGTTATTGTTTGTATGGCAAACACCCCTCCCCCTCCCCCTCCCCCCCCTAGGCTGCGCACGATATTTACACGATAATGATGCCAAGGTGCTCTTCAGTCAGAAGGACTTCCAATTTGACTGTGTAAACTAGCAGGTCCCTGATTTATTCATCAATAACCGTTTCTGTTCCATTGTTGTTTGTGTTATTGATGAAAAAAGGTTCGAGTTGAAGATGTGGATCTGTTTTAAAATTCTTTTATAATTTACAATCTGAAACTAGGTTTATTCGCAAAAAGTGTCTCACTCTTGTTTATGATTTCGTATGAGTTGCTACCATACTCAAATTATAATCTAATTTAACTGAGAAAACTACACAGATCTATAGTCCGTATAATGGAACCTGTCTCCTTTCCGTCCGCAATTACTAATAATAAAATAATTATTAAAATAATATTAGGCCCGACAAACCTTAACAGGATTTTACGTGCGTAGTTGGAAGCACGCGGCCAGCACACTAAATAGTGGCCCAGCTGATTAGTATCACGTGGATAGTAGTAGTGTTCTATTGTTAAATTATTTTATGAGTTTAATTCAACCTGAACAGCTTGTTCATCCAAATAGTATCTTGGTAGCTTGGATATTGTAGTACCGGCTATCAGATATTTATTTAGTGTTTGGAAAGTATTTTATAATTATTGACCTTGTATTTACTTGTTCACAGTGCCCGTGTATGAGCCCTATACCGGTTAGACCCGGCTTTTGGTATAGTGGTTCCTTTGCAGACCCTGGAACTTTACCCATTAAGCCATTGTAGCCATTGTAAGCCATTTACTTTAGCCATTGTAAGCTCCTCGGCAAACACGTGCGACTCGACTGCACTTGTAATATTTTTCCAGGTCAAGAAAATTGTGTCGCAATTCTAAACAAAATAGTGCAACCCCACATTGCTGTAGCGCTGTTCAAAAAATATTGCAACCTATGTGAAAAATATCACAGTTACTCCTACAGCTTACCCGTGACAACGGTTGTATGTGTCAGATTGCTGATAACGTGTAATTGTATTATTTTATGGAAAGTAATAACATGGATAAAACATACTCCCTTAGTGTTGGTTTCGTATAAAAAAACCCCCACTAGACTTTTTGTTTTGCCTAGTTTATCACAAACGGTGTTAAAATAACATTGGAGTAATTTTGGAGGATGATTAGAATCCACTCGGATATTGGTCGAAAAATACCCCGCCACAGCAAACCTGCCGACTAGCGAATTTCCGTTTGTCTGAATTGATTTTCAATCAAATCTATTTAAATGACATTAGGTTTAACGAGTACCTAGGTTTGCTGCTACAAGAAAACTAATAAAGTGTATTTTTTCTAAAATATTAATAGCTTAGTATAAAATAAATAAATTTGCCAAGTTTGATCAAAATTTGCCCATAAACAAGGAAACTACATTTTACAATATTCTTCATACGTGGGAATTTTAAATTTACAACTTTTTACCATAACCATACAAAAACTGATATAGGGCCTACTAAATTATTTTTTTAAGCTCTTTTAAAAAAGGTCTAGAGAGAAATTGGGAAATTGTGTGTTTTGAGGGTCAAAAAAGAGAAAAACGATTTTTTACCTCATAAAACCCCGTTCCCAGGTCCGATCATGCTGGTTCGCGAACTTTTCAAGTTTATCCCACCCTAAAATTACTCAAGTTAACGCGTTCGCGGTGTTTTTGGCCTCTGGGGACATCAAAATGAAAAAGTAAATCGGTCCCGGGCCTAGGTCTTACCGTGCCACCTATGGTTAATAGCTACTTCCCTATAGGGAAATTCGCTAAAAAGTGTCAATCACTCATTGGGTAGTGGCTGATCATTTGTTTATTTATAAAAGGTGTTTACTGTTGGAAATGGCAATAATGGGATTGGTGAATTCTTGAGTTATACAAATTATTGGCTTTCGTTTTTTACTAACCCTTTAATCTCTATATAATCGCCAAACCAAGAAGCGTGGGGGCTCTTATCAATTTGTTACAAAAATTAAACTATTAAGTTATAATTTATCAAGGACTGAGTGAGCCAAATCAGTAAAGGTTCCTTCACAACGGGGAAGTAAATATTTAAATTTAACCAAAATTCATTGAAGAAATTGCTTGTAGTTAGGGTATCACTATTTTCACTATCATTGCTGTTCACAACAATTCGTCTCACAGTTAGATGTCATTTAAATCACATCAACATCATTTTTGTTGTAGATATTTTACAATGCACTAACAACCGTCTTAAAACATAGCTATATTATTAATACAGGAAATGAATTACTTTAATCTAACAGTAATAACACATTGATGCATTAATAATACCGTATACAAATGTAATATAAGATACAAACTAGCATTGGCTTTGGCAACAGTTCGTACAATCACGACTAGGAGCGCTAGGAGTCACCAGCATTGACGGTCGCAACAGTACGTCATATTGCCGCTAGGTGCCTCTAGTGATGGAATTCCCACCGTCGCAACAGTACGTCATATTGCCGCTAGGTGCCTCTAGCGATGGAATTCCCACCATCGTTTATTTATCTATCTTATTTATCTATATTATTAATTCTATTAAGTGCAATAATAAACTAAACGATTTCCTGACAATTTAACCCGGCATAGATTCTAAAAATAACACGATTTTTAAATTTAAATCTGTGTTGGTATACTGAAGAGGCGTTTTTAGTTTGCAGACTCTCGTCGGGAATTTGTGGTAGCTGATAGACGACTTCCCAAATTTGCTCCAACCAATTCGCTACGCCTTCGCAGTGACTACAACATTGCTACGCCGTCTTCTGTGGATTCATTATTCAGAATTTTTAAAAAGCCGAGAGTCGTAATGATCTTACGATGATTGGCTTATAACTCTCAGAATTAGAATTAAATTAATCTAGTTGTCAAGTTTCCTCAAAACATCGATGTATCTACCAAAAGAAATCGATAGCATAAAAACATCGATGTTTTTCAATTCAATTAATTTATTCAGAAAAAATAAACATTACGCATCACTTTTACATTAAATAATCTGAAGTTAGGTTCATGCGAAGCAAAGCTAGAATGCAGGGATCGAGTCGCAAACATCAAGTGAAATAATAACTATAATAAAAAATACATAGAATATCAATTTAATTAAATTGTGACGAAAATATATTACTATTACCTGTATTATTTTTTGCGTAATCCCTATTATAATTCTAATAGATAATTACTACATCTATGTAATAGAATGGTGAGGTAATGTAAATCCGAGATTCAATTATCATGATGAACTAAATACAACTTTGAATCTAAATAGTAATAATAGGAAACAATATTCAAACTTTTATCAAAAGGACAATACTGCACGTAAAAGAAATAAATCGAGCCTTGGGAAGGTATGTAGATTTAAATGCTATTGAAATAATTAGCACAGAAAACTGCTGCATTCACGCACACACACATACTCGCATGTTCACATACGTCCCATCAGGTAATTTTGGAAATATGTAGTTAGCAATATAAAAAGCAAAAGTACAGTTTATAGTTTTATTCAATCTGGGAACGGCAATACCAGTATTAAGAGCATACCGGATGAAAAGGTTATAGTCGGTGTTGGGGAAAAATGTCAGCTTTATTTTTGAATAGGTATAAGATGAGGTATCTAACAAATAATTGTGAGATTTTAAAAACTTTAAATACGTCAAAAATAAGGTTTGAGGGATATGTACGGGATTTCCGAAGAGCTGCCTTCATAATTAATTTCTAAATTGAATAATTCAATTCAGAAATTAATTAACTAATTAATTAATTAATTAATAACTTCTTGATCAGCATTGTACTGTATTAAATTTACGGAAAGTAAATCAAAGAAACGTCTTATAACACTTAAAATATATATTGACGCTTATACTGTTACTCACAAGACGGTAAATATACAAATACCCCCACCACAGCAAACCTGCAGACTAAGTGAATTTCCATTTGCCTGATTTGATTTTCAATTAAATCTATTTAAATAACATTAGGTTTAACGAGTACCAAGGTTTGCTGCCTACAGGGTAATAAAGTGTGTTTTTTTAGTAAAATATTAATTGCTTGGTATAAAATAAATAGATTGGCCAAGTTTGATCCAAATATATGCATAAAAAAGTAAACTACGACAGTTGGCTTATTCTCTATAAGAATAACATGGGAATTTTTAATTTAGGGTACAATTTTCTCCGTAACCAATAACCACACAAAAACACTTCAGTATACTGAATTATTTGTTTTTTTTAAGCTCTTTAAAATTGTCTAGACGAAATTTGGAAAATTTTATGTTTCGAGAGTCAAAAATGAGAAAAACCAATTTTTACCCCATAAATCCCCCCATAAAACCCCGTTCCCAAGGTCCGATCATGCTGGTTCGCGAACTCGTTTGAATAAACGTAGGTTTACACGTTTGTACCAAATTTCATCGAAATCGGATCATTTTGGCTCGAGTTATCGGGCTAACGGACACACACACATATATATACAGGGTGTCCATAAAAAACGTTTCAGGACTTTGGGAAATGAATCCCCATACTAAAAGGAAGAAAAAAGTTTATGGGAAGGTATGTCCGAAAATCCATATTTACCCAGATATCCGCCATTTTGTTTTTTATACAAAAATATTTTTATCTGTGAAGTTTATTATTCGATGATTATGAAACTTGGTAAACATGTTACCATACACAAGACCTATAATAGAAAAAATAATAAAGTTGTTCCGATTGTTAATTTCAAAATGGCGGCCGTTTGAATTTTTCTAACTTAAATAACTCGAAAACGGCTAATTCTATGAAAAAATGTCAAGAATACTTTTTTTTAGAATTTTTAATTTTCTATCAAAAAATACCAAGATCAAAAAGATCGGACAAAAGATAACTGAAATATACCGGTTTTTGTGTAAAAATAAGGC